CAACGCGTAGTAGTCCAACGCGTAGTAATGTAACTCGTGGTAATTCGAAGCGTAGGAATCTAACGCGTAATAATCTAACGCGTAGTTAACCAACGCGTAATAATCCAACGCATAATAGTCTTCGCGCTCTAATTGATCCGTTTTTCCTTAATAATTCAAAAACGAAGCTTCGAACCCCATTTTTGCAAAGGAAAATCTTGTTCAGAATGACATCCTCTACCACCCCTTTCAGGGAGTAATACTAGTTACAGGACACCCTGTATACGCACATTAAAATTGTCTATAGTAATATATACACATACTACAATTGTCTATAGTAACATATGCACACATTACAATTTCTATAATAATATATAAACACTTTACAATTATTTATAACATTCGTATATCAGTATTTTCCCTAAAACTCATGACACAAAAATAACCACCAAAAGTCGCGAATATGAAACTGTAAGACGAAAACGAGTGCATCGAACGTATGGAGAAAATAAACGAAAGTCGAACGAGTAGTAACAAAAAGAGGAGTATGAACGAGTGTCGTTCGAATTGAGTCGGGGAAGCACTTAATTCGCACTTGTGAAACGATCGTTTGAATATTCCGGAAAAGAGAGAGACAGTACGAGCAGAGGGCGGAGATGATAGATGGAGAGATGAAAGGTTGAAGGGAATCAGACAACGAAAGAAGGAGAGAATGCAGAGTCTGGTTAACTGGATAGAGAGAAGAAACGTTTCTGGATTGCCGTTAACGATACACGAGAGATTATCTAGTTGAGAGTGCGAGATCCTATAACGCGATGCAACTAGTTACGTTTCGTCGTTCGCGAGACTAAAACTATCGGTCTCAGTTTTCCGACACTCGGGATCCGAGAACAATTGAACAGATCTTCGTTTTGGATAATTAATTTTGAGCGTAATGTGTTGAAGTACTTGAGAATTGCGTACTTCACGTTTGGGTTAAATTATTTGTAGATACTTTTGTGATTGTTTATGTTTAAGTGATGTCTGAACTTATGTTTAATATTATTTTACAATTTTTCGGGTGTTTAGGTTAGTTGTAATATTTGAAGTCATTAGAATTTATTATTTGTGTGGATTATGAATAAAATGTGAAGCTGTTAAAATATGAATTTGATTATTTTTAGCTAGGTCACCCTTAAATTAATTTAACTTGCAGTGATACAGTAGCTGAGTTAATTAAACAATTTCTAGTGGTATGAATTTTGAGGTAATAATTGAGATGGACTTTTGAAATATTTATTTCAGTGAAACAGGGCTATAGAAATATTAATTTTTGGGATTCGGGTCATTTGAAATATTAATTTTAATAGTACAGAGCCTTTAAAATATTTATTTTACGGATGTAGGGTCCTTGTAACATTAATTTTAGTGATATGGGACCTTTGAAATATTTATTTTACTGATATAGGGCATTGGAATACTAATTTTACTGACATAAGGATAGTCAAATATTTATTTTAATGATACAGGGTCTTTGAGATATTAATTTTAGTGATACAAGGATATTCAAATACTTATTTCAGTGATACAGGGTCTTTGAGATATTAATTTTAGTGGTACAAGAATATTAAAATATTTATTTTAGTGATACAGGGTCTTTGAGATATTAATTTTAGTGATACAAGGATATTCAAATATTTATTTTAGTGATACAGGGTTTTTGAGATATTAATTTTTGTAATACAAGGATATTCAAATATTTATTTTAGTGATACAGGACCTTTGAGATATTAATTTTAGTGATATGGGGCATTTTCAATATTAATTTTAGTGATACACAGTCGTTGAAATATTTATTTTACAGATATAGCGCCCTTGAAATATTAATTTGAGTGATACAATGCTTTTGGAATATTAAATTAAGTGATACAAGACCCTTGAAATATTAATTTGAGTGTCTTTGTACAGAATATTTGAAATATTTATTTCAGTGATACAGAGCCTCTGAAGTATTTATTTCAATCGTACAATGCCTTCAAAATATTAATTTTAATGTTCAAAACCATTGAAGTATTGATCTTAGTGACACAGTGTCTTTGAAACACTAATTTTAGTGATACAGGGCCTTTGAAATATTTATTTCAGTGACAAAGGGCTTCTGAAATATTTATTTCAGTGATACAGAGCCACTGAAATATTGATTTCAATAATACAGTGCCTTCAAAATATTAATTTTAATGTTCAAAGCCATTGAAGTATTAAATTTAGTGAGACAGAATCTCTGAAACACTAAATTTAATGATACAGAGCCTTTGAAATGTTTATTTCAGTGACAGAGGGCTTCTGAGATATTTATTTCAGTGATACAGAGCCTCTGAAATATTTATTTCAATCATACAGTGCCTTCAAAATATTAATTTTAATGTTCAAAACCATTGAAGTATTAATTTTAGTGAGACAGAATCTCTGAAACACTAAATTTAATGATACAGAGCCTTTGAAATGTTTATTTCAGTGACAGAGGGCTTCTGAGATATTTATTTCAGTGATACAGAGCCTCTGAAGTATTTATTTCAATCGTACAATGCCTTCAAAATATTAATTTTAATGTTCAAAGCCATTGAAGTATTAAATTTAGTGAGACAGAATCTCTGAAACACTAAATTTAATGATACAGAGCCTTTGAAATATTTATTTCAGTGACAAAAAGCTTCTGAAATATGTATTTCAGTGATACCTCCCATGATGCACCCTTTAAATCAGTTTATCTCTTACTGATACACCAATTAAATTAGTTCAACAATTAAACGTTAGACAGACAATTAGACTAGCAATCGCATCCTTCAAATTACCCTAACGATTATTACTAATACAGCCTTCAAATTACCTATTAATATCTCTAATAATAGCTCTATCACTCCCACAAATTGTGTAACAGTCTCTGATACAGCCTCCGAATTATCCTCCACATTAACACCAACTACAATTTGCATTTACTACAAATTGTAACCAACAATATCTTCTTTGCAGAAACCTAACCATTGCTGAAATCTGTAATCCCATTCATGGGATACCATGAACCATTAGAAGCGAAAAATAAAAATTGAAGAGGTGTTAATTCAACAGAACGAATGAAATACAAGAAACTATGCTGGAAAATTGCACAAGTTCGTTCTCGATCGAAGGTAAGAAGACTCGTGCTGTATAATTTCTATTCTTACTGATTTGCTACAAAAAATAGGCGCGATTGTTAGACCCGTTATCGATTAGGTACACATTAATAATATCGCATTATACTATGTTCGAATATGGCGTGCAGTCGAGCTTTTGAACCGAGAGTTAGTAAAAGATCGATAGAAATACTCTGAATAATTTGTTCACGATGTCTGTCGTACGAATAGCCGCGCTAACTTTTCTATCGTCAATTTTTAACGGACTTTTGCACGGACGGTCGATGTTATTATGCATTAGGAAGGTTGATTTAATGATTTAGGGATCTTTGTAAGAGAGAATTTAGTTTCACTGAAGATGCATATGTGATTACGTTGTCTGGTATGGAGAAGATGGATTTTTGTAGAGAAAATTGGGATGTGAACGTTGGATGTAATGGGAGGATATTGGGTAGCGTTAATTGTAGGGGAATGGGGGGATTTGGAATTTTGCGAATAGAAGGATTTGAGGATTTGGATATTTGAGGATCTAGTGATTTAGAGGTTTGGACATTTGGAAATTCTCATAATTTGAGAATTTGAAGATTTGGGGATTTGAGCATGTGAGGATCTGATGATTTGGGGATTTGGACATTTGGGGATTTGATAATTTGAGGGTTTGGACATTTGGGGATTCCATGATTTGAGGATTTGTACATTTGAGGATCTGATGATTTAGAGGTTTTGACATTTGGGGATCTGATAATTTGAGAATTTGAAGATTTGAGGATTTGAACATTTGAGGATCTGATGATTTAGAAGTTTGGACACTTGGGGATTCTCATAATTTGAGAATTTGAAGATTTGGGGATTTGAGCATGTGAGAATCTGATGATTTGGGGATTTGTACATTTGAGAATCTGATAATTTAGAGATTTGGACACTTGGGGATTCTCATAATTTGAGAATTTGAAGATTTGAGGATTCGAACGTGTGAGAATCTGATGATTTGGGGATTTGTACATTTGAGAATCTGATAATTTAGAGATTTCGAACGTGTGAGAATCTGATGATTTGGGGATTTGTACATTTGAGAATCTGATAATTTAGAGATTTGGACACTTGGGGATTCTCATAATTTGAGAATTTGAAGATTTGAGGATTTGAATATGTGAGGATCTGACGATTTAGAAAACTCATGATTTGAGGATTTGAATAGTTGTGAATCTGACGATTTAAGGATTTGGACATTTAGGGATCTGATGATTTAGAGATTTGGACACTTGGGGATTCTCATAATTTGAGAATTTGAAGATTTGACGATTTGAACATGTGAGGATCTGATAATTTAGGGATTTAATGATTTGAGAATTTAGACATTTGAAGATGTGATGATTTAGAGATTTGGACATTTAGGGATCTGATGATATAGGATTTGTACATTTGAGGATCTGATGATATAGGATTTGGACATTTAGGGATCTCATGATTTGAGGATCTTATGATTTGGGAATTTGGGAAATTAAGAATTTGATATTCTGGATATTTGTGGACTTTTTTATATTTAGCCATTTGAGAATTTAGAAATGTAGAAATTTGAAGAACAGACAATTTAAAAATTTGCGGAATTAAAAGTTTGAAGTTTCAATTTTTGTAAATTTTTGAAATTTATGCATTTTAAGAATTTAAAAATTCAGAAATTAATTTAGGAGACTAGAAATCTAGGAGATGTAGAGATTTATGTATTTAGAAAGCCAGTAATCTAGGAAATTTAAGAATTTGGAATTTAATAAATTTTCAAATTTTCAAATTTGATAATTCAAAAGTAAGAAATTTAAAAATTCTTAGTAATTAAAATATTTAAGCAATTTTTGTGGGTAATTGAAATTTGTGCATTTTAAGAATTTAAGAATTCAGAAATTTATTTAGGAGACTAGGTATTTAGAAGGTTTAGTGATTTACGTATTCAGAAAACTAGGAGTCTATAAGATTTAGGCATTTGAAATATCAGAAAATTAAAAAATGTTCTAATTTATAAATTGATAATTAAAAAGTAACAAATTTGAAAATTCATAACAATTAAAATATTTAAGCAATTTTTGTTAATAATTGAAATTTATTTTGATAATTCAAACGCAACAAATTAAAAAATTCTTATTAATTAAATTATTTAAGCATTTGAAAATTTAAATATTTCTAAATTTGTTAAGTTAAAATTACAATTAAAAATCTTAAAAACATGAAAGCTCAATAAAAATACAGTATAAAATTAAAAAAATTACGAAGTTAAAAATTTTTAAAATATAAAAGCTCAATAAAAATACATTATAAAACAAGTTATTATGTCACCGATATTTTCAACACAATTGATTCTGTTTCTAATATTTTGCTTCTAAGAATATTCTGGAAATAACACTCGGATACGTTTCGCTATTGGTATACGAGGGTTGTCTTCGTTATTACCGTCACACCGGAAATTATGAAATATCGGCGAATCAGTTATTCCATTTCCGCCAATCACCGCTTCGTTTCATCATCCACTTCACCCTCTCGTTTATATGTACTATTTTCTACGAATTTCCTATAAGTATACTGATGACGAAACCATCTAAATTACTTTAGGATGCAAAATGCGATCATTTAAATTGCTACTTTTTCAAACTCTGTTTAATGAAAGTGTATACTATTATTTTAATACTATCGATTTAGGCGTGATAAGAATCACATGAATTATTCATTGTAATTTAGTCTACGGCGCGATTCTACTAACATGGAGTTTTGTTCTTAAATTTATTGATTTGTATATTTATAAATTTATGAACGCCAATTTTTAAATTAGGAAAATTAGTCATTTTTCATTTTTTAATTTATATTTCCACATTTTATAATGTTTGTGGTAATATAAATTACAATGTGACTTTATAAATTTTTAAAATTACCAGATCTATAAATCCACAAATTTTTAAATTCCTATATTTAGAAATTTTAAGAATTCTCTAAATTCAGTATTTTTAAATTTCAAAATAAAATCACCTAATTTTTGAACCCTTAAATCCCTAAATTCCTAAATTTCTTCTCAATTCTTAAAATTCTCAAATTTCCTAAATTTTCCAAATTTCTCAAATTTTCCAAATTCTCAAGTTTTCCAAATTTCTCAAATTTTCCAAATTTTCAAATTCTCAAGTTTTCCAAATTTTTAAATTCCCATATTTCCCAAATTCGTAAAATTTCTTACATTTCCCATATTTCCCACATTTTCCAAATTCCTAAAATTTCTCAAATTTCCAAATTCCGAAATTCCCAAATTCCCAAATTCCCAAATTCCCAAATTCTCAAATTCCCAAATTCCCAAATTCCTAAATTCCCAAATTCCCAGATTCCGAAATTCCGAAATTCCGAGATTCCGAAATTCCGAAATTCCGAAATTCCCAAATTCCCAAATTCCCAAATTCCTAAGTTTCCAAAAATTCCCAAATTCCAAAATTCCTAAATTCCTAAACACCATCTAAACTACATATAATCAATGTTAAGGGTATAAATAACAAAAACAAACCACGAAGGTGAGGGATTAATTAATTAATATTCATTGCAAACCAAGAATTGAATTATTTATAATAAATAAAAAGCAAAATAGCAAATCAGATTTCAATATAATTTTTAAATCAACTCAAATAGTATAGCTTTATAATATTTATGAAATTTATAATAACTGAATTGTAAGCAACGATTTCTATTGAGGAGCGCAATGAAAACGATCCGTGCGAAAGGACGGTCGTCGAAAGAGTGCTCGCAATTGATAAGCCGTCGCGGCCCGAACCCTATCACGTGGGTCTTCCCCCACTCCGGCCTATACAATTGCGAATACCTGGCGGCTTTACTCCTAAGCTAGCCTAAACGTCTCGATAAAATTACATGGGTAATTGTGAGGGCCCTCACAAGATGCAAGCATTTCCTTATCGGGGGCGGTGGAGGCCTCAGGGGCCGTTGTGAACGTCCCTCCTAATCACGGCTTAAGGGGGGCAATGCCTTTAGACAAATGAAAATAAGCTGATATTTGTGAATTTTTTTTGTATAGGACACCTTTGTTTTGCATTTTCGAAATTTCAGGTATAATTTATTATAACTATTGCCTATTACAGAATATTTTCTGTTTTGCAAAATATTTAAAAATGCCGGAATTGTGACAATCCTTTCTGGAAGCGTTTTGGCGTGTCTCTAGTTTTAGATATATTGGTCTGAAGCAAGTTTGTAGACAATGTTTCGAAAACTAACATTCACAGTTAGTAGATGAACCTCAGAAATGTGCAAAATGTGTAAAATTAAAGAAATGGCGCGCTTTTAAAGAAAAACTTTGAATTTTACTAAACTTTGAATTTTATTGAAAATTGTTGCAACGTTTTGCAATAGAAAGGACTTTAATGTTCAGTTTATTTCACACATTTAAGTTCATATGTTAGATAGTATTGTCATGGATATGTGCAAAAAATTTGACGCGATTGATAAACTAGTTTTTGAGTTATCAGCCACGGCAATTTTAAGAACGTAGTTTTGAGAAAAACGCGTTTAAAGTTTCAGTCCTCCGCACTGAACGCGTGTATACTCGCGGCGCTAATCGGCCATAACTTCAAAAGGGCTTCGTATTTTACTTTAAAATTTTGAGACAATATTTTTAAGATGTTACACTAACATTTTATAGAAAAAAAAATTTGTAAGTTTTTAAGATTGTTAAGGTATTGCCCCCTCTTAAACAGCCCCAGGTTCGCAAAAGCGGCCCTGTGCACGCAGAGATCGCCGTTCCAGGTTACCAATTAAAACGAATTTTCCAATATCCTGCCTTTCACTCAGGTTTTCATTTGCTCCTTTACAAGTCTTGTTTGAACTTAAGAGTACACAAAAGACGCGCATAAATACATAGTAAACCGAAATTATATTTCTATTTATAACAAATAATTAAATAACGTGAAACTAAGAGAATAATGTCAACGCTTAAACTAAATTCCGAATTTTCATTTTTCTACGCTCAACAATCAATATTAAGTTGACTGTACACTATCAAAGAATTGATCAGTAAAAAGTAACTATCTCGATTTTTTAATTTTCGAGGGGAAACGAGAAAGGAATTGATAAGGTTTCATTACCGCGAAACCACAAAAGCTGTTGCCACAATTAAATTCGTGGTTCAAATTGTTCTTCCGAACTTTTGAAGGCTTCAGACAATTCAATCTTTCGCAATTACTACATGTTTTTAATCACCGAAAGTTCGATAAAAAATCTTAAACTCTAAGAAATTCGTTTTATAATGTAATAAAAATGAAAAGTTATATTTATATTCGTACTGGTCGGAATTTTCCTTGAAAGAGCAGTGGTACGTACAAGATTATGAAGGATAAACAAGATTTATTAATTCTTCTGTGAATCTACTATCAATATCGATAAAATTGCTCACTTTTCGATTCTCATTACATTTGCATTTCTGGAAACATTTTCATTCAAATGTAACATGCAAAATATTTGGAGAAATCTTTCCTTTCGAAATATATTTCTAAAACATGGTATGTTCCCAACATGTTCCTTAGTCCAATAATATTTCATATTAGGATCTGATACAGTACCCATGTTAAAGATTACACCCAAAAAAGCTGTTAACTCCTCTTTCGTCACATCGATCCAATTATTCCATGTTGATCGATCAGATAAGCTCTGCTCTATTTTATTTTTGGCATATTTATTTGTTTCTAGTACAATTGTTTTCAAGTGCATCCGTGAAGAGTCTGAAAAAGTAGATAGGTTCGGTGCAATGAACAGGTATTAGGTCCAACAATCTTAGATTCCGTCAAAAAATTGCTTTTTGATTGTAGTTGAATAAAGTATAAGATTAGTATGGTGGCTGTGGTGGCTGAGAGCGGGCATACGACATAATAAAATATGTCTGCTATGTAACGAAATGTTTCAGGATATATCGAGCGCGAGGAAAACAGGGAGTAATGATCAGAGGTACTTCCAGGGTGTTGACCGCTAATTCGAGACGACTAAAGCACTGTTGCCAGAGCGAATTCCATCTGTTTGGCAACCTATTGTTACGAATTCTCCTTATTCTTTGCTATATTACCGGCACCTGTTGTTACTGGAAAGAGAAGATGCCGCGCGGGACCAACGATATACAGATCGGTTTGAGCCGAGCGCTCCAACTCGGACACTGCGATTTGGAGATCACCTGCGATTGGTTCTGGGATCAAACTTCTGGCTTTAAAAGAATCACACCGGCCTCTAAAGGAAGACATGTACCTACCACGGATGCTAGTCGTTCGGAAACAGGTGAATTATTTCAACAGATTTATTATTTCAATTTTATTAACACTTTAATGGTCGCACGTTTAAACGCTTTAAACGTTTAATCGCCAGGGATCGGCAACAGTTTCGAAGAATTAATTTTAACAAACTTGATGTAAATTCACGAAATAATTCAACATGTGTACATACACGTAATTAAATAAACAACAACAATTTAATAACACATTTAATAAGAATTATTTTATTCAAAGTAAAATCTAATATTTTGTTAATAATAATAGTTTCATTGGCAAAAGCAAAGAGTAATTTAATTAACAGATCAGTACAAAAGAGATAAAAAACAGTAATCTACTCGAAACAGCATAATAAAGTGAAATAACCATAAGTTATAGAAGGGATCTGTTAAAATAATTTTCCACTTTGTTAGGGCATTTCTTATGGTATACCGAAGGAGAAAAGGCCCAAATGTGGTCTGTGACTATTCCACCAACTGGGACTCGTTGCGTATTAGAATTATCGTTATACCAAGTCGAAATGAAAGATGGTGCTATCAAGTTGCTCATAACTACAAATAACACAAGTTCCATTGCCGTGGAGAAGGCCGGAAATAACCATGCAAAGTAATTACTTATCAATCATTATAATAATATTTATCGAATGCACGTTGCTAATACTATGGTGTATTACAGATGGGATGTAACGCGATTTAAACTGGGTGCAATTAGTCAACATCATAGGTTATTGCTAGAGTTCCTGTTACCTTATTCCAACTCTAGCGTCGGTGTCGACAACATCCGTCTGATTGACTGTTTTCCGGGTAAATATTTCTGTTTATAGAAAACTTAAAAATTCATCAAAATTCACTGTTTGCTAAATATTTGTAGTAAAAATATATCTGAACCGCAGAGGCTTTATATTGACAGAAGCAAATTCTGAATTCATGAAGTTCTCACATTTTCAAATTATCATAGATTGAATTTACAAAATATATTGAACGCAAAAGTATTATTATCGTAGAACAATACAACGTTAGGAAATATAATTAATTTTTCGAATGTAATTTCTGTTTCTTGCAAGAGCGAGCCAGATAGCTAGCTCCTTCAACCGACAAGTTAGTAATGAATATTCGGGCCTCGCCCAAGCAATGATCGCAAAACACTCGGGCCTTTCTGACTTTTCCCGAATACTACCCTTATTTACCATAGCGGCTTTACTCCTAGACCAGTCTAAAGGTCCCGGAGAACAACCAAGTGGTTCTCCGTCCACTGTCCCTCACTACCGGAGACGTTCGTCATCTCCCTTTCAGGGTCATACCGGCCTCAGGGCGATACATACAGCACCTCCCCTAGCCGTGGCTTGAACGGCCCCAACGGCCCCAGGTTCGCCGAAGCGCCCCTGTGCACGCAAAGAGATCGCCAGCTAGGCATCGCTTCTCAGAAATTTACAAATGTTATCTCGCTCGCTCTTTCTTCGCTCTCCGCTACAAATAAACTTATCGCCACCTTCGCAATGACAATACAATCGCACACAATTCGCAACATAACGAATAATCATGGTTATTTTACATTCAGAACAGACATAACCCAAACTTACACAATTTTACTTAAATCTAAATAAACTAAATATGTCTTGTTTGCAGAACGACTACAGCCAGGAACAGCATGCACCGACAACATGTTCCATTGTAGTAACGGTTTGTGTTTAAACAGAACACATGTCTGCGACCTAACAAAAGACTGCCCTAACGGCGAAGACGAGGGTCTCGACTGTGGTAATTGTCAAATTATTTCCATTACCTCCGCCTCGTCGAATATATAACATGACAAGATTATAATTGAGGAGAGTTTCAGACAAAATACCAGAGAATGCCAGATGCAATTTTGAGCACGGATGGTGCGGTTGGAGAAACGTACCAGGAAGACCTTTAATTTGGACCCTCCATCAAGGTCCCACACCGTCGGAGAAAACTGGACCTAGTTATGATCACACGTACCGTAATGCGTCTGGTATGTTTCTAGTTTCGTCGAAAATTGCACGTTTACTTAAACGGTCATCATTTTCAATGTTTCATTATTGAGCGATAGGTCACATAGAGGTTCACTGAAAAGGAGATCCTATTTTATAGAAAAATTAGCTTTTTTCTGAGTTGGTACTGTTCTATGATGAATTAAATCTAAATGGATTAATTTAGATTTAGAATTAAATCTAAATGGATTGATTTAGATTTAATTTTGGTATTTGTAATTTTTTCACTAAGATGCTTCTTTATAGAGGAACGACATTAACTTGAATTTTTATACCTACTGGTTGATTACTATTATTACTTTGCCACTATTCAAAAATTACAGTCATATCTATTTAAGGTTCATACAGGTCTTTCGGACATTAATTTTAAATATTATTGAATGTTCAACAATTATGTAAGCACCTGTTAAACTTTTACTAATCTGATTATGTATTTTGAACTACAGGAACATATGCTTACGTAAACATGTCGAAAGCAGTGAACATGCCGAAAGCAAACTATGGTAGTCGCGGAACTATTGAAAGTCCACTATACAATCCTACACCTCCGTACAGTAGCGATGAAAAAAGTCCTTATTATAAAACTTGTGAAGTAAGTGTCTTTTTTTAAACAAAATATTTTATTATTAATTAATTCATAGCACATTTTTTTAATTTTTGTTGTACGTTTAGGTACGTTTCTTTTATCATCAATATGGAGCACACAGTGGTTCTCTTGGATTATACTTGGTTCAAGTGAAACCACATCAGAACCAGTCCGAAAGTTTGTGGTGGTCTTATGGCGATAGGGGTGACGTGTGGTATAATCAGGCTATCACCTTGCCTGACATTAGATACAGGTTTGAAATCAAAATCATGTTACACTGATAAGGAATTTTGGAAAAATTTGAAAATTTCTGAAATTAGAAATTTAAGAGAATGGTTATATACAATTTTTTAATATGGAAAATTGATAACTTGAAAACTTAAAAATTTAAAAATTTTAAAACTTGAAAACTTGAAAACTTGAAAATTAAAAAATTTGATAATTTGGAAATTTGAAAACTTGAAAATTTAACAATTTAATCATTTGAAAATTTGAAAACTTTAAAATTAACAAATTTGAGAATTTAAAAACTTGAAAATTTCTAAATTTTATAATTTAAAAATTGAAAAATTTGAAAATTCAGAAATTTCAGGTCTTAGAAAATGCTCATCACTATTTAACACCATCATAAATTGTCCTAAACCATCAAAACGATATATGTGATGCATAAAAACATAATTTTGCAGATATTTTTTGCAATTTGAAGCAAGCAGAGGAATCTCCTCGAAAGGTGACGTGGCAATCGACGATTTTTCTTTGAGTCCCGAATGCTTTGGAATTGGTAAATTTTTAAATCATTTTGTAACCAAAATTACACTGTTTCTTTATTCCAAACAAAAATAATTAATATTTAATAGTAATAGTTCGTTTCATCTTTGTTTAAAATATTACTCATTTTCTTGTAATCGATTAGGGGTTCCACCGGAAGTTGTTGGAAAATTCAATTACTACAATCCTGTTATCGACTCGGAGAGGATCCCTGATCAACACGCTGATTTCGTTAACGAAACTGGTTTGTATTTTATGAAACATCAAAAATCTTTTTCAATTCAATATTCTCAAAATTCTTTATCAAGAATTTATCCTCAAAATTAATTTATTTTTAAGATTTATTTTTCAAGAATTTATCTCCCAAAATTAACTTATTCAAAAAAATTAATTTTCAAGAATTCATGTTCCAAAATAAATTTATTCCCAAAATTTAATTTTCAAGAATTTATCTCCCAAAATTAATTTGTTCTCAAAATGTATTTCTTAAGAATTCATTTACAAAATTCGTAACCTTATCCAAATTGATCGCACTAACAAGACAATTCGTTGAAAAGAAATAAAAAAATTATTTCTAATTGTATTTTCAGTCATAAAAATCACTACTTGTGGTGCAACAGGAAGAACAGGTCCCACGCGAGAACTATGTAGCGAAGAATATAACAAAACAGGCGTAGAATTAATGGTACCTCCACCGGATCTGAAAGATCCATTTTCCTATAATTTAAATGGCGTTCAACGATGGACTGCACCTCGTGGAGGATATTATACGTAAGGACATAAACCACATAACTATATGAAACTCTACAAGAGATTAAATCTGGGTTTCTATAGATAAAATTGATGAAAATAAATAATCGAATAAAATGACAAGTCAAATATATTTTAAAAGTATCAAATTTTCAAATTTAGATACTTGGGATTTGAAAGATATTTGAGATATTTGAGAATTTGTAGATTAAAAGATTTCAAAATATAGAAATATCACTAATTTAAAAATTAGAAATGTAAGAATTTGTAGATTAAAAAATTTCAAAATATAGAAATGTCAATAAGTAAAAAATTAGAAATTTAGTTCATGAAATATCGCGCTATCAGCTTAGGCGTGGACATTGATAGCGTGGAAATTAATACGCTTAATTTACTATAAATTTAGATTAATCGGAACGGGTGCTCGAGGTGGAAAGGGTTCCAGTGGTATGGGAAGCGCCCTTGGTGCTCTTGTTCGCGGAGTAATCGAAATGGAGAAGGGTGAACAATTATATTTCATGATCGGACAACCAGGAACTGACGCGTGTCCCAAAGTAAGAATTTTTCGAAATAAATCCTACGAATTTTCTTTACACTAAACACACACTATGTTACAGACTTAACGCCTTAGCCTACAAGTTTTTTGACAGCGCCAATCATTAAATTATAATTTAAAATCACCTCTTCATATGCCATTAATTGATTTTTTGTCAGAGTATTAATTTATAAATTAACAAATTGTCCGATCATTTTCAGAATTTAGGATTGAGTATAAACAGTTGTCAGAGTAACCAATCGTACGGATTATCTCTATCCTCCGGAAGTGCTTCTAAAGTACACGAAGTAAGAAAAATCAAGATCAGAGATGGCGGAGGTGGCGGTGGAGGAGCAACCTATATCTTTACAGTAAGTAAATGTGTTTAAATTGATAAAATGACAATCGTATACATTTATATGTATTTACATTTACATTTGTATATATTTTTATTGTTCGATATAATTGTTGCGTGTTTCAGTTAAAAAACAATCAAGAACAACATCCGGTATTGATTGCAGCCGGTGGGGGAGGTATAGGTTTCGGACAATTTGTCGATAATGGGCTTCAACATGGTCGAGGACCTGCTCCTCCCGGAAGACCACCCATTTCTGGTGCTGCTCTTTCGGCGGACGCGGGTAAATAACCTTTCAGATATATTTTAATACGTTCTGACGTAAAGTATTTCAAAAGAGATGTAAATGATCCACATTTTATCGAAACTTTAATGTACACAGTATTGAACACATATTTTTTAGAGAGACCCATATTTATATTTGCAGAGTGAAAGTAGCTCTCGAAATTGAGGTTGCAATATTTCACTGCTTATCTCGTGACCTTTCCTTTAATTTAATTTATTTTATTTTTAACACGTTCCGTGCCACGTGTACCACCAGTGGTACAAACATATTTATTTAATGCACTGAAAGTATATGTTCATGACAAATTTAATTCTGTAAAAAAATAGTTTTACTAAAAGATCAAAGCATTGTACGATATTGATTTTATGTGCACAAAACGTGTGCTCGTTAAATTTTGAACAATCGAAGTATTTTCTGTTACAACACATATTACGTACAACACACAAAACTATGATAAAAAACTGAAAATAAATTGAAACGCGTATCCCCGGACTACTTCAATTATTCCTAACAATATTTTTCACGAAAGCAATTCGAGAATTCGAGCACGCGTTTTATTTAATTGCTTCGCATGTTCATTGCAGTAATTTGCATCCGTCCACGTTCGGTCATAACTGTTTGGAAACTGTGTTAATTACGTAAATCTCTGTGGCACAGGTGGCCCTGGTGGTGGGTGGAACGGGTCATCGAGTAACGTTTCGGGTCAACGAACTTCCGCTGGTACATCCCTGGTTCGGGGTGGTGTAGGAGGAATTGGTTGCAGTCCTGGAAATCAGAGTCACGGAAATGGAGGATTCGGTGGTGGGGGTGGTGGATGTCGTACTGGAGGTGGTGGGGGTGGCTATATAGGTAACAGTCTATTTTTACCAGACGATTTTCACCCAACAGGGTGCTAACAGGGTTTAGCGACGTACACTTTTCAATTCTATTACCTAATATACAGGGTGTTACCTGTAACGTTACTTACGATTTTTCTCCCACTTGCAGTCACCTTACGAAAATAAGTTTAAGTATCATAAAATCTTTAATATCTCCAAGAATTTCTATGTCTCTAATTACTTCATAGGGTCTCAGTTTCTCTTGAATCCTCTTCTAGACTTCTTAAGACTTCCAGACCTTATAAACTTATAAACTCCATAAACTCCAGACACCCTAAAATTATAACAACAAATTAAACTTCATTGCAAGCAACCGATTTCTCAATAAATTACCGTGAGTACGATGGTCTAGGTGGTGATACAGGCCATATAGAACCCAGCAACGGCGAAGGCGGTTACTCTTATGCCAGCCGTGAGCTTATGCATGTTCACTTCCGGCCAGGAATAAATCATGGTCCTGGAGAGGTTTACATTATTCCTGCTATCAGTGGCTGCGGTTGCGACTTCCGTTGCGTCGCTCTTGATCAGTACCTGAGCGAGACAAAGTGTCTTTGTCCTCCGGGCTGGTTACTGAGCAATGATTCCAGATCATGCGTCAGTGAGTACAAAACGAACTCTACCCTGTTATAAATATTGTAACAGTCTAATGCAATAAGGCAATAATAACAGTAATAATAACAGTTTAATCTAATTCTGTTTGTAGTGGCTGATGATTCCAAGGTTACTCAACAGACATTCATTATCTGGCTCATAGCCATTAGCGTTAGTGGCCTATTTCTTGCCTTCACTGCTCTTTGCTTAGTACTTTGTAAGAAATTTGTTAAATGAACATATGTGATTTCGTGTAAGGTAGATTTCTTGGATTATGTGCTTCGTTTGTAGATAACCGTTATCAAAATCGGAAAGAATTGTTACGTCGAAGACAAGTTATGTTTGGTAATGGAACCGAGTTAACATCTTTACGCGCTGTGTCCGATACTATGATGACGGAATTCAATCCTAATTACGAGTTCGCTGGGAATTTATATAGTTTTAAGGATCTGAAGAAAATACCTCGGGAAGACATCACTTTGGTGAAGTGAGTATGAACGGAAGATTTCGTGGAGGTACGCGGGTGGACCCCATAGCGCTACGGGGCTCCATGCCACGGAATTCGAACGTACAATCTTCAGACTTCTATATTTAAAGAACTGAACTTCGTCTTGCAAAGTAGTACAGGACTTTTATACTTCTTTTTATAAACTACGCCATTTTTTACAACTTTTCTATATACAATACACATGTAATTTTTAAAATGTACGAATTAGTGTTAGGGTCTCAGAAACCAAAAAATTAATTTATGCCATAGACCCCTCGGACAAGGTGCTTTCGGCGAAGTATTTCAAGGCGTTTACAAACTCGGACACCAAGGTGAGATGCCAATAGCCGTGAAGAGTATACCATGTTCATCCAGGCCTCAAACAGAAGCTGATTTCATGATGGAAGCTCTGATTATGAGCAAATTCAATCATCCTAATATAGTAAAATTTGTCGGAGTTTCGTTCGATAAAAATCCCAAATACATCGTGTTAGAACTACTCGCTGGTGGGAACCTGAAGAATTTTCTTCGCGAAGAAAGACCACGCGTTGTAAGTATTCGTACACTTTTATCGCTATGAGCCTACTCAAAACATATGATTGAAAACATTGTTTACCAATGATTAATTTTAAACGTATAAATAATTAATGAAGTAAATAACAAAGTAATGTATATTTATTTACAATAGTATCTTAAAAATATCGTACGGTATGTACCAGTAAAACTGATCATCTTAAATATCTTTCAAATTGAGCACAGTTTCGTTTAATACTTTCAGAACCTACTGTGTAATATCACATATTCTCACTTCCGAATTTAAGACAGCAAATTGCTGTTATTTTTTTAATGTTACACCCGAACACCTTTTTACGTAAAATGTTTCAAAGGTTTCGTGGTTTCATTTAATAAACTAAGAACAATAAATATGACTTTATAAGTCTGAAACTCTATTTGGATGATATTGAATGTGACCATCTATTTTGAATCTCTGACAATGTAACTAGATTACTTTTATTTTCCATTAGCTGTATATCGTTCTCCATTAAAATTAAAACAGGACTATTTATGTCAAACATGAAGAGGCATGAGTAATTCCCGTTTTGGCAGGACCGTCCCACGTCGTTGACTATGGTGGATTTGATCATGTGCGCCTACGACGTCGCCATGGGTTGCCAATACATGGAGGAGGCTCGTTTCATCCACCGGGACATAGCAGCAAGGAACTGTCTACTCACCAGCAAAGGACCTGACCGAACAGTGAAGATCGCAGACTTCGGCATGGCCAAGGACATCTACAGAAGCGACTACTACAGAAAAGGAGGCAAAGCCATGTTGCCCATCAAATGGATGCCACCCGAAAGTTTCCTGGACGGAGTATTCACCACGAAGACGGATGTCTGGTGAGCTGATAATTTCAAGACCTGAGGGTCACATTGTACTAATCTCTGTTTGCAGGGCATTCGGCGTGTTGTTATGGGAAATCATGTCGTTCGGTTATATTCCATATACGGGGTGCACCAATCGGGAGGCTATGACAATGGTAACGTCGGGGGGTCGTTTGGAGAAACCTGTGGGGTGTCCTGATCCTATTTACGGAATAATGACCCGCTGCTGGCATCCTCGACCCGAGGACAGACCCAGTTTTGCAACCATCGTTGAAAGACTTGGGTACTGTTTGCAGGTAACGCTAAAATCAAATTATGAAAATTATAAGATCACATAAATCGATATCGGTACGAATCAAAAACGTTTATATTCAGGACCCTGACGTCATAAATCACCCAACGCCCAAGTTTGATATTTTACCGATCTGCGATCGTGAAATAACGATTATGAGGCCGGATCCGGAAACGGAGTGTATCAACGTGCAATCGGAAGTAAGTGTAATCATTATACCTAGTTGCACGAGACTTCATGTCGATTGCTGTTGTAGCTGGATGCCTGCGGGTACATGCAGCCCAAAATCATCGATCCACGTTCGGCGATCCAGCGATTGACGATGGCTGCTGCTAATAACAATCCTTCGAATCCTGGAAACGAAAATACGGTTAGAACTAATGCAAACGAGAGGAATTCAGTGCAACCTACAGACTGTTTGAGACCGCGGTTTCAGAATAATCCATATGGCTCTAATTCTGACAAGTCTGAGCAAAATACGAGTACTAATAATTTCAGCGATGAGAATGATCGCACAGAGGTACGTTGATAATTTTAGACGTAACTATTTATTTTAGAGGTAATTTGTTAATTTGAAAATTTAGAAATTAAGGAATTTTAGTTAGGTATAAAATAAACACTCCTAGAATTGCCAAAGGTTGCTTATAACCCAGTACCATTTTGCAGTATCATTAAAGTTACCCAATTATGTTTACAGAAGACACGAAAAGAAGACGACTCAAGTCGCGAAGAGCAAAGCGTACATCGAACTTCAACGGACATCGAAAATAGCGGTAAGTTAGAAATCGCAGACAATGGTAACAACCGTCCAGCAAAGACCGAGAGTCGTGGAAGCAGCACGAACGACGTGTCCGACGTGGACAGAAGAAACGGTAACGACAGCGTAACAGACACGAACTCGGACTCCTTGATCGTTGCTTCTTCAGATACACCGCCTGACACGACGAATTCTTCACCGATCACTCGTACCTGCTCCCCTAGTCACACTGGCCTAAACACGAATGCCGCTAACGTTAACGGGATGTTAAAGAAAAATGCTCTGAAAGCTGCTCTCAGTTTGGATCCTAGTGCACTGTGTCGTGGAACGATACCGTACGAGAAAATTGCGTTTTCCTCGCCTCCGCAACGCTCGAGCACGCCCGGAAGTATGGAGATTAAAAAGGTAATTCGTCATTCTTTAATGAATTTGTTGAACAGATCCCTTAGTGTCTTAATTTAATCATTTACGCGATATATGTGACTTTACAACTTGCATCTTTGTTTTATGGGATGCAAGATGTAATTAATATGTGTTAATTGTCCTTTGAGCAGTAGATTGTGCGCGTTGAAACGAATCAAAAAGTTCTTTACCATTTTGCGATCTGATGCTCCGTTTTCGAGATATGAGCATTTGAAGGACGTTTGGTTTCCGGGGAGTTAGAGGCGCCATGGCGCCAAGCGATCAGCTGATCACATGACTACAATACATGCTACATGTAAAATACGTTTGATAGCATCAGTTATAGTATGAGAAGAATGAACAGTAATCTTCCCCTTACTTAACAGTGTTTGTAAAGTGTATAATACGTCATCGTGTGATCAGCTGATCGTTGGCGCCATGGCGCCTCTAGCACCCCGGAAGTCAATCGTCCTTCAAATGCTCATATCTCGAAAACGGAGCGTCGGATCATAAAACGGTAAAGGATTTTTCGAATCATTTCTACACGAAGAATCTATAAGTATTTCCGCCTCATAATATCAACCATAAAGTCTGAAACTCGATGTCGTTTACATCCAAGAACTCCAGCAATGTGCTTATCCCTGAATTGGTTTCACCGCAGTTCTATGTATGATGGAACTATCGTCTCTCTGTTCTTCACACGAAGGATTCTCTGGGTCACCAGCTACCGAGGGAAGAGGAATGCTCCTGCTGAGATTTGTACAAAGGGGAGTGACAATACTCCCCGGCCGTCATTGTTACGACACGAGCAACCAACGGCAAATCGTTGCGACGATCCGCGACGATAACCGGCGTCACGACGTCGATCCGTATCGTGGATTCCTCGTCGTCTCTGTGGATACGAGACGAAGAATGCTCGCGTCGCGTCTATTCCGAGGAGACACTCCTATAAATCGGAAAACGATGAATGTTGCCGCCTGATATATGTGTGCTTCTCGACGGGAAGCCATTTTCGTCCATAACCAAAAGGGAAGTGTTTAATTGCGTTTACTAAATGGACGGTCCATAGTATTGCTGTAATAGATTCCATTCACAAGCTTGAGACCGTCCGTTGTTAAATTCAACTAAATCCTTTTCTCCCACTCGCGTACACGAGATATATAGGCGGTCTTTAAATATCCTATGAAAACTATGGATTCTTCATAGCAAACGGTTACGAAAAGCCGTTTGAAGTTTTGCAATAGGACACTCCGTTCTAAAGATGGACCTTCGGGCCGCCCCGTAGCGCTATGGGGTTCACCCGGGTATCTCCACGGATTTAAAACTCAATTGCAAATAATTGTATCAAGTTTTTAAAAGTTGATAATATTAATTTATTATTACATATTATTGTAAGTTTATTCTATTACTATAATAATGGATTAGATTCGAAATGAACTTAAAATGGCGTAGACAGTCTTCAATATCTCGAGAACGAAAGTTCGGATCGCAAAACGGTAAACGACTTTTCGAATCCGTTTTCCACCAAGAATCCATAGTTTTCATGCAGAATATTTTTCCGGGCATCCTGTATACAAATATCTACATGTATGTAAAAACGTGAACATATTATCGTCGTGTCTGATAAGCAAACGCAAGGGTTAAGACAGTTAAGTCTTAGAGCAACTATCACACCGAACACATTCCACGCACACACACATATATATATAAATACATAAATATTATAAATTATCGAGGAAAACTATGTAGATATAGTCGTTATCAGCTGTTATACGGTACTAACCCTGCAGGAGGATGACTACAGATAACGTCGGGGTCTTTTTTGTCCTTAACAAAGTACGCAGGACTCGCGGGCCGCATTGTACGGAACATTTTTTTAAGATTGCAAAACGATGTTCTACACGTAGAAGAAGTTTTAGTGAGTGAGAGAGAGTGTGACAGAGAGAGAGAAAGACAGAGAGAAAGAGAGAGAGAGAGACAATACACTATACACAAGACTTAATTTACACGAAAGGGAAAAGAATACGCCCGTCGGCGTTCTTTCTATACACACACCTATAAACCTTTGTATAATGTATGTATATTTACGAGAAGATTCTAGACAAGGCTCACGTCGGATCGCCTTCTTGATAAATTATCATTTTTTTTTAACAATATCAACGGACAACGATCGTAACGTCTCAGAAAAACTTAACTGAAGGGTGTGAAGATTACCTGACTGTTGACGAACGAAAACGAAAACAAAAAAAAAAAGAGAAAACATGAAATAATTAATTAAGGTATCCCCTCTTGTCTACCTCGTTGATTACTCGTTGTTTTAACCAAGAAGATAAACGACGGGTTGGTGGAAAGTCGGTTTGTTTAACATCGATCTCGTTGTATACGATCGCTGTCGCGAAAAAGAAATGAAACGGGCAGGTAGAGTTTTCGAATCGCAAAACAAAACGAAGATTTAAAAGAACAAAAAAAAAATAATAATAATAAATAAAAGAGCACAGGCCCTTTTTTATTTTTCTTACAACGACGACGTACTTTACGTGCGCGCAGCGTATGAAAGTCAACCACCATATACCTGTACGTAAAACGTAATAAAGACATGTTTGTGGAAAATTCTGGTGTTTTTATTCGCACACTTTGAGGTTTTGTAAAATAATTGTATTTAGTGAATTAGTTGGTTTCGGAGGATTTATGGTTTTCTGGAGAAGTGGTTAATTTAATTTAATTGGTTGGTGTTATTAAGTCATTAAGTTATTAAGTCATTAAGTTATTAAGTCATTAAGTTATTAAGTCATTAAGTTATTAAGTCATTAAGTTATTAAGTCATTAAGTTATTAAGTCATTAAGTTATTAAGTCATTAAGTTATTAAGTCATTAAGTTATTAAGTCATTAAGTTATTAAGTCATTAAGTTATTAAGTCATTAAGTTATTAAGTCATTAAGTTATTAAGTCATTAAGTTATTAAGTCATTAAGTTATTAAGTCATTAAGTTATTAAGTCATTAAGTTATTAAGTCATTAAGTTATTAAGTCATTAAGTTATTAAGTCATTAAGTTATTAAGTCATTAAGTTATTAAGTCATTAAGTTATTAAGTCATTAAGTTATTAAGTCATTAAGTTATTAAGTCATTAAGTTATTAAGTCATTAAGTTATTAAGTCATTAAGTTATTAAGTCATTAAGTTATTAAGTCATTAAGTTATTAAGTCATTAAGTTAGTACTTTGTTAAGTTATGAAGCAACGAAATTATTAAGTTATCAATCTAGTTATTACATTCTTACTACTTTGATCATTATTGCTTGTTTAACTTATCAAGTTATTAAGTTTCTAAATACTTGAGTATTGAAATAAATTATTAAGTTATCAAGTCCTTCCATTATTAAGTTAGTAGGTTATTAATACTTAATTTTAATGAGGTAACATGAAAACTAATGAATTATTAAGTCGTATTGAAACTAATGAATCATCAAACTTTTAGATACTCACGTTGTTAAATTATTCAATAATTGAGTTACTAAGTTATTGAGTTACCAAGTAGTTAAGTGTAGAAATCAGTAGTTATTAAGTTTGTTAAATTATCAAGTCTCTCAGTTGGTAAGTTACTCAACAATCAAATTATTAATTTAATGAATAAGTACTTATTTACATAAGTTAGCAACCTATTTAGTTTATTCAATTACAAAGTACTAAAATTGTTGAGTAACTGCTCAGATATTGAATTTCTAAGTGCCAGAACACTAAACTTAATAAATAACCAAGTTGCCAGATACTATAAATATTTAAATTATACAATTATTAAGTTCCTAAGTACTTGAGTACTCAAACTAAATCATTAAGTTATCAAATTAACAAATACTCAAACAGATAAATTATTGAATTCCTGAGTACTTGAATGCTTAAGTTACTAAGTTATAAAATTTCTAAGTACTTAAGTACTCAAACTAAATCATTAAGTTATCAAGTTAACAAATACTCAAACAGATAAATTATTAAAAATTAATTAATTATTGAGTTCCTAAGTACTTGAAAACTTATATCAGTAAATTATTAAATTTTTAAATGCTCACTTACTAAAGTATTTAAATTATCAAATTATTAAGCTATCAAGTACTTAATGTATTAAATCATTAAACTATTACTAATTAGTACAATATTAGTATATTATACAATATTAATTAGTAAATTATTAAATCAGTAAAAGCCTAAGTATCCAATTTAAGTACTCATCAACTAATTAACTCAATACCTAAATTCTAACCACACGAAATCTTGATAACCCTTATATTTAATGATTCAAATAAAGAGAACGACAATAACTCAAGAACTCAAGTCAAGTTTAACAAGTCAAGATCTTAACAGTCCAGTGATTTCAATGGTAGTAGATCAAAATCCGACACAATTGGAGCATTAGAAGCATTCTTAACCAAAGAACAGAAATAACATTGTCATCTTGGTGATACGAATTTTCCTCGGTAACCCAGGCCAGTTCAACACACGTGTGGGCATCTGAAAATATAGGTAAGCATAAACGAAGTAAACCTACCGACAGGCAGACAAGCAAGCACCGATGAAACGTTGAAGAAGAAGAAGAAGTAGCAGAAGAAGGGGTACCAGACGACAATTCGTGTGTAGTTTTCGACCAACAGTTCGTTTCTTGCCGCCCTTTCGAGAATCTCGCGCCTTACGGTGTAATTCCGTGCGGTTGTTGGCTATATTTACCTCAGCATCTTTATCAAGAACATGTCGAATTATTCCTACTACTACGTGAAAGCCATACTCGACTCCGACGACAATTCGAGGATCTACAAATTCCTCAAAGGGTAAGAAAAAATATCGAATATTAATCCTCGGACGGTGCAGTCATCCATGTCAGAATTTGGTCACCTTACAATTTTATTTACTACGTTATTTTATTTTCAACGAGACAAGTATTTGACCTTTTTAAGAACATGACAACATCTCAGAATAATATAGAGTCCAAAATTAAATTCTAATTACTGACACAGTTAAACTGTAATCGTTACTATCTCAGAAGTTAAATTGCTACTCTCAGAATTCAATTTGTGTCTCACGAGTCAAATTTTAATTCTGACTGCCTCAGAGTTGTTCAAGGGTTAAAATTTCATATCTTGCAAAGTACAGAGGCAATATTTTAAAGATGGATTTGTTCGTAGAAATCCAACGCTGTCGAACGCACCAGAAGACACATGGTCCACTTATGGTCGCTACAATCTTCTCTCAAGGCTGCTCCGCGGAGGACTATCTGGTTCAGGTGACATCCATCATCCAGCCAACTCTGTGTTCAAGGTCCGTTTCTTCCTAGTTTCCACTTTTCCCCGATAAACTTATCAATACCGCACACACGAAACCTTGATCCACCAACTGTGATATTGCACAGTTGGTCCAGAAAATGTTAGAGATTAAAATCACCCAGTTTATCATTTTCATCGAAAGGGAGCACTTAAACACTTGGCAGTCCCGTTTTCACCCACCATTTGCCAAAGAACAAGAGTTTTAAGAAACGTTTCGTAAGAATTGATAATTATCGTGAAATGAAACAGTCTGGCCGAACACCAACGGATTTTCCATCCCTTGCGTTTGCTTAATCGTTCGCGAATCATTTACTCGAACACATTCCGCGAATACGCTGCGGATCGAAATGAACTCAGCAGAAGCAGAATGAAACGAAGCCACCGGTAGGGGGAAAGATATTTTTTATTTTGTTCGTTTTTTTTGCGAGCATCGTTTGGAACACAGCCAAATGCGGCCTTTAACGCGAAATGAACCCCCTGGTACGCTAAACGAATTCATATTTTTAGTCGCTCTACTGCCAAGGTTGTTACCCAGTTTTCCTATCTCTGCTCCGGTCGAAACGTTGTTTATTTTTGTGTTCAGTTACCTTTTGTTTGTTAAACAATTTTTAGTGCGGGTTAGACTGTTGTTATTTTGCTGGCAGTGCTATTTGTCGTAAATTTTAGCGACAGGTTTCGATATTTCGAATTAACTTCAAAGGACTCGAGGGGTATATTATTGCTGTTAGTCTGGTAGAAAATTATTAAGTTGAAAATGAGTTATACGATTTGAATCTTTGATGTAATTGCATCAAATGTACTCATTATCCGCCATTTTGTGACGAGTCAATGAGATATTTTTCTCGAACTCTGAACTTTCATTAATGTGATATAAGTGTCATATGGAAATAGTTTTGTTACGAAATCGATCTAGATTTTTACGTTTTGGAATTGCCTAGTTGATATGCATTGTCTGCTCTAATCTTCTAATTTATATGGAAAATAGGAAATACTATTTTGTATAAATAAAATGTCTATATAGACATTTTTGTCAAACTTCTAGCTTTATGTTGATATAGCAGAAACATCATTGAAATTGACTATTAACATGTATTACTAATAATTAATCTTTTATTTTATATATGGAATAGTGAAAGTTTAAAAAACACTTTAATTGAACACCATTTTGTAATATTTTGTGTTACGATGCTGTGTCAGGTTTTCACGTTTCAAAATTAATTAAATGACATGCATTACTTAATAACTAATCTTTCATTTCACATATGGAATAGTAGTTCAAAATTTGAAAGAGGATTTCAATCGAATTTCAAGCTTTAAATTATAGCATAAACACCATTTTGTAATATTTTGTGTTACGATGCTGTGTCAAGTTTTCACGTTTCAAAATTAATTAAATGGCATGCATTATTTAATAACTAATCTTTCATTTCACATACGGAATAGTAATTCAAAATTTGAAAGAGGATTTCAATCGAATTTCAAGCTTTGAATTATAGCATAAACACCATTTTGTAATATTTTGTGTTACGATGCTGTGTCAAGTTTTCACGTTTCAAAATTAATTAAATGGCATGCATTATTTAATAACTAATCTTTCATTTCACATATGGAATAGTAGTTCAAAATTTGAAAGAGGATTTCAATTGAATTTCAAGCTTTGAATTATAGCACAAACACTATTTTGTAATATTTTGTGTTACGATGCTGTGTCAAGTTTTCACGTTTCAAAATTAATTAAATGGCATGCATTACTTAATAACTAATCTTTCATTTCACATATGGAATAGTAGTTCAAAATTTGAAAGAGGATTTCAATTGAACTTCAAGCTTTTAATTATAGCACAAACACCATGTTGTAATATTTTGTATTACGATGCTGTGTCAAGTTTTCACGTTTCAAAATTAATTAAATGACATGCATTACTTAATAACTAATCTTTCATTTCACATATGGAATAGTAATTCAAAATTTGAAAGAGGATTTCAATTGAACTTCAAGCTTTGAATTATAGCGTAAACATCATTTTGTAATATTTAATGCCATGAAACTACGTCTGATTTTCTGTATTTTGAAAAGCACCACGTGATGTGTAATAACTCCGCTTGAACAAGCGTTACTGTGATTTCTCGGTAAGTGAAATATCGTGTCAGTGGAAATATCGCCCTAAAAAGCTTTTTAACTTGAATTTTGAAAATGCAAGTCAGAGATAGTTACGAAACAATCTATTATTCACCTCTGGCAAACATGTGTTCCCAGAACGACTTCGACTGTAAATTACCTACGGCATAGACTACTTTCGAAACGATATCTAACATGTGTGCACCGCTGGAAAAAATTTTAAGTCCACTGTATTTTTAGTTAGTTTTTCGTTGCCAACAGTATTTTTTCCTTGTATTATTTCCTTGGTGAAAGAAGAAAAATAGTAGAAGGAAAAATTTCGCAATTTTGACTATCATTGTTTTTATAACAAATACTGTTCTTGAATTAATTTGATGCAAATTAAATTTGACACAATTTAATTAAACGAGTTAATATGACAAATAATAAATGCACTTGATAACAGTAATAAATTCATAAACAACAATGAAGTACAAAAATTGTATGTATAACAATTATATATAACAACATATACAAAATTTCAAGTTTCATTTCTGTCTAACAAGATTTGATTTGATCTTCAAACTCTTCAACGAAGATCAAACGATTAATATTTATAGGATATAAAATTCGATGTATTCAAATAAGATCAGACGAAGTTACACCATAAGCCAGATTCTCCTTAAAAACTTAAAAATAGTTTTACCTTCATCGCTCTCTGAATTCAGAACATAAACCCACCTTCGAATTTCAAAATCCTTGTACGAAAAAAGAAGAAAGCATGTACGTGGTGTTTCAAAAAAACGTCAGACGGTTTTCATGCTGATATCATTTTAACAAAAGTAAAAACCTTGTTTAAACTTGAAGAAAATACGTATACTATACAAGGAGATTACACTAAAATGTCTGTTATAAATTATCACAAATGGAAAGTACAAAGACTAATTTTAGTAATATTAATAACCATTTCCATAATAGTAAGAACACTGTTTAAACTTGAGGAAGACATACTATCCAGTGAGGTTCCACTAAATGATTGCAAGTGTGGGAAATTTCCCGTTGAAAATATTCACGTGAATGATGATTCAGTTTCCAGAAGTATAGTAATGATAAATATTCTTTGAATAATAGTTTATCTAATGATAAACAGTATTTGCACAATCAAACAAATACGTCATATAACAAGATTTTACTAACTCTTGCAAACTCCAACCCAAATAAAATATTTCAAAATCTTAAAAATCGACAAAACTTTTTGGTCAGCCCAAAACATAATTAGAGATCTTTTCCTCTACGTCGCCATTTTCCCTAAAAAAGTCTATCTCATGCTACATGCTATAACTGTTTCAAGTAATCATCATTTAAATTATATCATTTTACATTGAAAAGATGGTTCAAGTTTCAATGTAATTGTAACTAATATGCAGTTACAGTTGCAGTCATATGTAACGATTTTTCGTAAGCACACTGTAGAGCTCTCTACAATGTGAACTCCACATGTGTATAACATTAGCGTCGAGACGCCGACGCCGACGTCCATCGGGCGGAGGAGGATGCTTTCGTTCCAGGCATCCATCTCAGAAAATATCCGCCAGTGCATTGCGAGCACCACAACTTTCAACACGTTTCTATCTCTCGCGTGCAATCAACATCAATTTAACAAATCAAACCTATTGCATTGATCTCGTGATACAAATTATCCTTCAAACATGCTGTGAGGTGTGTGCCAACTAGTTCATACAAAACATATATTCTCATGTGGATTCCTTTTGTTACTGAAGTGGAAGAGGACTGAGGGTGAGATCTTCGTGTCATAGTGACCTTGGCGCACCCTGAAGGGGTGTGACTTTTAATCGATACGCTATGCTTCATTTGTAGGTTATTGCAGATCAAAGATAATGTTAACTTGTTACAAAATATTCAATGAAGTCTTTAACCGAATTGGACAATCTGGTCTGTGGTGATTCTTTCATTGCCATATAGTTTTAAAAGAATTGTAGTTCATCAAAATTGTATTATATTATCTGTTTTCTTAATTACAAAATTTTGTGGACATGGTCCATTAATCAAGTGCTTTTCTGTGTAAAATTACATAGCGAAAAATACAAAAGAAAATTTTACGGGGTAGTAACATGAATCTATTAGTCTTTAACAAACTTTTGTCACCATTTTTAAATGGAAAATTTGTTGTGCAATAACCTCAAAAAAATGTAGCAAAAATAACTGCAGACAGAATTTTTCACATCCTTATGTCTCACCGTCTCTCTGAAACGTTGTTAAAAGAATATAAAATTTTTTCAAACATTTTTAAATTACTTGAAGACGATTAAGCTAAGAACGATAATTACTTTATAGCCGCAGAAACAATAGACTAGTTCTTAGAATCCGCTTAATTGTTCAAGATTAAACCTCGTTTCAATGAGTAATTTACACGGATGATTGAAATTTTAGTAACGAAACATCGTTAGCAAATAATGTAATCAATTTTTTAATTTCTTCCAACGATTCCATTAAAGCCACTCGAGTGCCTATAAATCTGTCAAAATTTCTCGTATCTGAGTCTGTAATTGGTACACATGTAGGTCAACGTCAAGGTGATATGGCGGGCCAAGTTTCCGCGTGTGTATGTAATTACACATGTACATGTTTTGAGGGTCGACGCTCGAAAACAGTATGACACATAATCGAGGCTTTCTTTCGTTGAACACCTTTAATGGCTCGATATCTGTTCCCTGGAATTATAAAAACCAAATTCTAGACATACTACAAAAAATGTACAAAGAAAACTGCCTTGGTTATCCGCTCGTTAAAATAGAACTAATATTGACTTTTATCGATATGCGCAGTTTCCTGTGCAAGGTTATTGAACTGAGCATTACGACTACTTTAAAAGAACGTCTAATTCGAATTTAATATTTTTTGAATTGACAAGTGGGATTTTTGGAACATTAACCTATAAAACGACAAACATTAGTAAAAGTAGGTTGAACCACATAATTACTAGATAATTATAAATATTAATTAACATATTAACATAATTAGTTAATTTTGCTAATTAACATATTAATATACACATGATATTATAATTATTCATATCTATCACTTTTATTGACCTTTTGGTGGAAATAAGTTGCACATTATTATTACACATTACATCAAACAACACTTGTAAATTATAAATCTTTTCACTATTATTTTTATTATGAAATTTTGTTTAATTATTGTAGTTTTACATATTCATTGATTTTTACCTTAATTGTTGTACTTAAATTATTTTTTAATTCAAACATATACAGAAATCTGTTTTTATATTAACCTATACGATATATTACAATTATTATACCTCCCTTAGAAATAATTGTTATGTTTTAATAGAAATGCTATAGTGTTTTCTATTAGATCAAAAATTATAATAAAAACTACCTGAATTTTATTCTACATTAATATGAATTAATATTTATTTCTGCATGAAAGCTACACATTAATTCGTTTTCTTTTCTTGATAGAAATACTGACAATATACACCATAAAAATTAACGATAATCATAATTATGGTAAACAGTGGAAACTCTATTTTAAAAAGCTTACACATCCCGCTACAGAAAATAACACTAGCGCCATCAAGTAACACAGTATAGAATTACAATCTTTAATACATAATTTATCTCTTATCAGCTATGCGTCTTAATTTTATAATTTAATCGCATGACACATTTCAATGAGATGCAAAATGTGTAGTAATCTCTAACAAAACCAACAAGTTATGAAATTTACATACCTTCTCGTATTCTCACTTATTTTCCCGCTTAAATTTGAACAGCACAAAAGAAATCTCAGACAGTATTTTCATTTAACAATACCAGCTCGAAAATTAGAAAAATTGTTACAAAAACCTTACAAAAATATTAAAATACAATCAAAATATTAATTTGCAAGATTTATGCAATCAGGTAGTAAAATTCTTCTTCAAAATTGTTCAAGGAATTATGAGCTAATCATTACATGCTCTATATAATGAGAAAGTTACGTAAAAACGAAGTAAACAGTAATTTTACTGGTAATTTTACGTTTCGAACATATAATTAATAATTTCTGATTCCCTGAAAGGAATTTTCCTTTTTTGGTTCAGTTCCAAAATTGGGCATCCCTACTATCGTCCTTGAGGACGGAGCTCAGATTTCAAACGTACAACTGCGTACACAACTTGATACTGGAACAAAAACTGAATCCATGAGCTGACTAAAGTGTTACGAAACTGCAATGAAAAATAATGTACAGTTAGGAGCATGGTCGACTTCCGTCTAATCAATAGCGATGTAGGGGGGACGAAATCACATAACTCGTTGCGGTTTGGTTGAAACTTAGATATTTAGAAATTTGGATATTCAGACATTTGGAAATTTCGAGATTTTTCAATTAAGAAATTTGGAAATGTAGAGATTCCTAGATTTGAAAATTTAGGAATTTGAGAATTAGAAGAATGGACTTTTGGAAATTAAAAAATTTACAAATTTAGGATTTGGAAATTTTGACTTTTGGAAATTAAGGGATTTATAACTTTCGACTTTTGGATATTTGGGGATTCTAAAATTCCAATTTTTGAAAATATGAAAATTTAGAAATTTGGAAATCTGGGAACTTGCAGTTGAAATTTCTGAAATCTAAACATTAGAAAATTTGGAAACCGGGGAATCTGGAAATGTGAAAGTTGGGACTTTAGTGAGTCAAAAATTTGGGAATATGGGGACTTCGACCCAGGTTTACAAATTCGGTTAACGAAACTGTAGCCAAATAGTGGGGGGCTCCTCTCTCCGCCCCATTTTTGTCGTTTAAGGAAGCCTGCGCTGTGTACAGAGTACATAGGTGAGCTATATAAGAGATAATCGAGGGGATAACCAGGTAGTGCGTCGTCGAATCGCGTTAGTCATTTTTCGTCCACGTCAAAGTCGCGTGATGAACAATCAACAGTTAACTGAGACCCCAGTTCAACGTTACAAGTTCAGAGTGTACTATGTTGTCGAGGTTGATCTGTAAGAATTTCCAGTTGTAGCCATTGAGTCACAATAAGAAACAAATGCATTTAAAAAATTCCTTCAGTCGATCAAGTGTCAGCGAGATTAAAAGTGGTGCCGGTTAACCTGGCAAATTGTTATCGTTTCCGTTGGACAATGAACTGTTTTCGATAGAAAAAGACACCAACGACCACGTGACTACGATTTCGGTGCTGCTTTTCCTCGTGCAACAATAACGGGACATATCCTGGTTACATACCTGTCGGAACCGAAATAACTAGAGCAAAATGAACAACCTGTCATACGGATGGAAGCCGGAAGTGGTCGAGCCGGAATTTGTACGGCAGGAAACAAAGAAGGTGGAAGTGAGTATCATTTTACGATTTTGTGATCGCTTAATTGATAAACGTTACACAATAACGTTGATCGAAGATTGGAAATACAAGGACGTTTTTGAAATTTAAATATTCGCGCCTCTGCAGTGGTGCGCGCGGTTTTTCTAAGATGGCGCATGCGTTGATTTCTGAGGACATAGTTTATGTATCAGATGTATATCTTTTGATTATTTATTCGGTTTGGTACTGTATTATTTTATAATTTGCAAAAACCGTCGATTTTTAATGAACGCATTTTTACTAACTACAATGTTATAAGTAATAAAACATGCTACTTTTACACACGTGCTTATAACCTCTGTTACCAACGTAACATTTTTAATTGCCAACGTAAACTTGAATACTGATTCATTCTGCATTTCGGCATAAGATTCTTTTTGTTACACAAAGAAAAAGATGACAATAGGTGAACAATAGGATCACACGCAATAATTAGTATGCTGTTATCTGTCAACTGTCAGACATAACCTGCATACTGAACGAACATCTTCCCTGCTATTGTTGTGTAGTGAATTCTGATCTCGTATTTTAAATTTTCGTAATATTTAAAATTCGAACATATTAAAGTAAAGATGTCAACACTAGCGAGTAGTGTAAATTTGTATCAATTCGCCAAAGTTTTCGTGCCAGAGATTCGAAGTTAGGTTCATCAACTCCTAGCCATCCCAAAATACAAAACACATAAACAGTGAGGTCTTTATCATCGTTGCACCCGAGGGTTATCTCTAGTAATATCACAAGTCGCCGGTGAAAAAAACACCGAATCGAACCTATCGTACTGTTTTATTATTAAACGATTTCCCTCTCAATTTCGATGGGAAAAGTCATACATCATGGCGTATTTAGCCGTGCCTTGTGACGAAACATCGGTGAAGGTATATAACCGGAGAATGAGCTCAGTTCGTGACTACAGACTTGTCAATGTAACGGTTCTACGTTCGCACAGTGGAATCGCACGTGCAGAGTCGGCCACGAAATTTTGTCATCCGAAGTTTTGCGGTGACACGGGATAGTAATTGCAGAACGTAAACGCTGTCGATATTCGACAGCTGCTCTGGATATAGTGATCAGTATATTGTATTGTCAGGGCGTAGTCAAAGAAGAGGATGAGTTATTACGGCGGTGGAGCTCCTCTCGATGATGTGTTTGTTAAAGCGGCGGTCGAAGTCAAACGATTCCTTCCGTCGCTCTTCAACATCAAAGTGGTACGTGTCTATCAAACAACTGCGTCCAATTCAATTCTAATTTAATAAACTCTGATAGTTCTGCGTTTCGAAATATCCTGCCATTCCGACCGGTTTTGTATCTTGGTTTTGGAACATGGGGCTATTAATATAACTTGTAGAAGTAATAAATTGTTTATCACGTTTCTTAATAACTATTCATGAAATTTTCCAACTAATGTTATGATGTTCTGATGGCAATTAGGTTAATTGTATGAGTAACACTGAATAATTAATTTTCCTTTCGTTGAAATTAAATTGGATTTTCCAATGTTAGAGTTATGTTTCCTTCTACGCAACTGTACTAATTTATAATTGGAAACTTTAACTTGATGACACACGCAATGCTACGTATTTTGTGACGTTAATTTACCAATTGTTTGGAGGTCTTGATCAGATGCCTTAATATCCATGACCTGTACCAGTAATGGGCAACTGTGATGTTTAGAGTGTACACCCGCGAGCATCGATGAACAATCACAGTATAAAGTATGAAGTATAAAGAAGTTCAATAAAAACTTCTATATTTTATACAATCTAAATTTCTAACCTTCTAAAACTTCCAAATTATGAAGTACAATAGAAACTTGTAAAAATTTTTGAATGTAAAAATTTAAAAGTTTTAAGATATGGACATTTTTCTTTCCAAATTTTTAAATTACTATATTTCTTAATTTTTGAATTTGAAAATTTAGAAGTGTGTCTATCATTGACCTGTAGTATCTACAATACTAACTTAAACTACCATTCCTCAAAGGTTAACTTTTAGCGCCCATTTTGTTCAATCTCAATCTGCTCCCACACATCTTTATTAACAATTTTTTTATATAACAATTATTATAAAATTTTTAAACTATTATTACTATATATAAGTTACAAAATTTAATACTAATAAAACAAGTACATAATGAATATAATGAATATAACCTTCATTTGCAACATGTAAGAGGAAATAGCTGAGCTACCATTTGCATCAAAATGACTAATTAAGACGTAATTTAGAACCAGAAGTCGTCATAGAACAAACATTATTTTCTATAAATGTTATACAACATATTTTGCATTTGAAGATTCAGATATGTGGTAATAGACAGAAATAATTAATTTCAAGGGTGACGATGTCGATTGCGACATTTTAATCAATGCGTACGCATTCTCTGTCGTGAATCGAGTGACTGTAGGAATTATGATCAAACAAAATACTCTAGTCGTGCGTCATGTGCGCACTACTCATTCATCGCACGTGTTACGTGTACCGAAATTGTACGATAACACAAATGCTTTGTTGATACAGCGTATTTGAGATATTATCATTTGAAATAGTATTTTGAGAATTCATTGATAATCGTCCTTTAAAGCTTATCTGATAGTATGTAATTTTATCGTGCAGAATACACCCTCTGTCATTGATGAACATATCAGTACTTATCAAATAGCTCAGACACTGTTTGGCATGAGTCATGAAATCAAGATTTAAAAATTGAAATATTTAACAATCTGGGAAAATTGTTGAATTTAAAAATTCAAAAATTGAAGTTTGATAGTTTATCAATTTATAAATAAAAAATTTGGTGGCTTACCAATGGTAGTTTGACCATTTATAAATTAAAAAAAAATGTTATTACTAAAAATTTAGAAATAGAAGTTTGACTATTTATAAATTAAATACAAAAATTTTATCACTCAAAATTCATAAATTAAAAAGTTTGACAATTTATAAATTAAAAAATAAAAAAATGTTATTACTCAAAATTGAGAAATAAAAGAAGTTTGACAATCTATAAATTAAAAAATAAAAAAATGTTATCACTTAAAATTTAGAAATAAAACAGCTTGACCATTTATAAGTTAAAAAATAAAAAACTGTTATCACTCAAAATGGAAAAACAAAAACGTTTGACTACTTATAAATTAAAAAATAAAAAGATGTTATCACTCAAAATTTAAAATAAAAAAATTTGACCATTTATAAGTTAAAAAATAAAAATATATTATCACTAAAAATTTAGAAATAAAAGGCTTGATCATTTCAAATTTAGATTTGATAATTAAGAAATAAAAAAATTTGATAATTTACAAAATTAAATTTTCAAATTATGAGATTAAGAAGCACTTATCATTATCCACGAGTACACTTGTTTGTGCACTACATATATACCTGGTATATCATCGATGAATAATGCAAAGAATCCAATAGCACCCGTGCTAATAGCCACCGTCAGAAATCCGATCACGCACTAACGCGTGATCTGTCCCCAGCATTCGAGCCCCACGGCACACAACTGACCTTCCCAAGCTACCACTGTGCGAAACTGTTCAAGGTTTCAGAGGAAATGCAGTACATTACCAGTAATGTCGTTATCAGTATATATTTATTATCTACCACAGGAATATCTGTTATGTATCTTATTACGTGTAACCATACCTCGTAATCAGAGCATAATGTGGTCAGATTCTTTTCCGGTCATAATAATGTGTTGCCGCAAAAGATAAGTTTAATCAAAGGTTTATTAGAATACAGGGTAATTTGTTTCCCTTTACCAGAACTGTTCGAACAGTTCAACAAAGTAGTTACCTAAATAAAAATCTCGTGGCAAATGGTACAATTTAACATAATTTCGTTAAAATGGAACGTGGACGTAGATACACGAATTACCGATTTTCGAATTTCATGCAAGAAGGTGTGGCCGTGTTAAAAATAACGCCGACTGTGGAAAATGTGGGAAAACGGAACACGATTCACAGCATCCCTTATTCCAGTACAAAAAGAAATTCAGATTTTAACAAGTCGAAGAAAGAAATAAAGAAGTTTCTCGATAAGCCAATAACGACCACGAAAAATTACATTGGGAAACCTTATTACAACGTAGGCTGTTCAGATTGTTGATCAAGAAATGTGGATTAAAAACTGTTTCCTTTACAGTTGGGAGAAAAGGGATCTGGCTTCAGACCTCGAGGAGCTGTTCAAGACTTCAACACACTGAGACGAGAATGTTTGTCAACGGGAACTCTTTTCGAGGACCCCGAATTTCCACCGGATGATTCGTCGTTGTTCTTCTCGAAAAGACCGGACAGATACATAGAATGGAAACGGCCAATGGTACGCAATTTCGGTATAATTTTCACAGTTAGGTATTTGATTTTGAGTTTTCGACAGGAAATTGCAGACAACCCTCAGCTCTTCGTCGAGGGGTTCTCCAGGTTCGATGTGCAACAGGGAGAGCTAGGGGATTGCTGGCTGCTGGCAGCAGTCGCGAATCTCACGATGGATGCCAATTTATTCTTCCAAGTGGTGCCAGAGGACCAGAGCTTCGAGGAAAACTACGCCGGTATCTTTCACTTCAGGTATTCCGACAACTGAATGAAACAGAGGAAATCCCCTATTTCAGAGATGAATAATTTTATGTTTCTATGAAACAGATTTTGGCAATACGGTAGATGGGTGGACGTCGTGATCGACGACAGATTGCCAACGTATCATGGTGAATTATTGTATCTGCATTCGTCGGAGAGCAACGAATTTTGGAGCGCATTGTTGGAAAAAGCCTATGCCAAACTTCATGGTTCATATGAAGCATTGAAGGGAGGAAGTACCTGTGAAGCTATGGAAGATTTCACTGGTGGTGTAACTGAAATGTACCAAATGGATGAGACACCTCCTAATCTGTTCAGTATTTTGTTGAAAGCTTTTGAAAGAAATTCGCTAATGGGTTGTTCCATTGAGGTATGCTTTGACTTGCATTATTATTTAAAAAAAAGGAAGAAATTAAGCTAATTATATTTTAGCCTGACCCAAACGTGTTAGAAGCAGAGACACCTCAGGGATTGATTAGAGGTCATGCCTACAGTATTACGCGTGTCAAATATGTAGAGATTCAGACACCAAATCAGTATGGAAGGATACCCTTGCTTAGGCTTAGAAACCCTTGGGGTAATGAGGCAGAGTGGAATGGTCCATGGAGTGATCAGTAAGTTATTTCAAATTTCCAGCAATATGAACAATTTTATGTTAAAGACTCAATTCTATGGTTAAAGAGTTAATAACAGAGTCCACTAATTGTGTAATGACAGCTTTATGCCTCTGTTACATAAGGAAAGCTGAGAGTAGTTGTAACATTAATCCGTTGTAATCGGTTGAAGAAAATGTGATCACTTAATAGGTCACCAGAATGGAGATTCATTCCTGATCACGAGAAAGAAGAACTGGGTCTGACCTTCGACATGGACGGTGAATTTTGGATGTCATTCCAGGATTTTACAAGATACTTCACGCAATTAGAGATCTGTAACTTGAACCCAGACTCGTTGACCGAGGATGATTTAAATGCTGGTAAGAAAAGGTGGGAAATGAGCGTGTTTGAAGGAGAATGGGTACGTGGTGTCACAGCAGGTGGTTGCAGAAACTTTTTAGGTACTGTTTTCCTTTTAATTCACTCTCAATCGAAGTAAACATGCTTTGAATATCAGTGTAGAGTTTAGAATGTACAGAGTATTCTAGCATCTTTATGTTCCTACAGAAACTTTCTGGCACAATCCACAGTATCGTATCACATTGGAGTACCCTGATGAAGATGACGATAAGTGTACAGTCATCGTTGCATTGATGCAGAAGAACAGAAGAGCACAAAGAAGAATGGGTGCAGAATGTTTAACTATTGGGTTTGCGATATACCATGTATGTATGCAGTTCCTTAAGTATCATATTCAAAACGCAAGGATTAATGAATCAAATATGATCAATTGAAACAGTTGGAGTATCCTGAACGTTTACCAAAACCACTAGATATTAATTTCTTCAAGTACAACGCATCGGTCGCCAGATCTCCAGCATTTATAAATCTAAGAGAAGTAACTTGTCGCTTTAAATTGCCACCTGGCGTTTATTGCATAGTGCCAAGTACATTTGATCCTAACGAGGAAGGTGAATTTTTATTACGAATATTCTCTGAAAATAAAAACAACATGGAGTAAGTAATTCTTCCATTTCATTCGATTTATTTCAATTATGAAATTTCAGTTTATAATGATATTTATGTTCTTCAGAGAAAACGACGAAGAAGTTGGTATTGGAGAAGTTGATGATAGGGTAAGAAATTTATATTTACATACATTAAAAATAGAGAAAAGATTAATAAAATCTTGTCAATGTCTGTGTCATAATGTGGTAACATTTGTACCCTCGGTGGGCACATCCTGCACTTGCTTTTAAAATGTATCCATTATCTGTTGTGTAAATTTATTGTGTCGTTATTGTGCAAAATGTTCACTGTATGGGCGATATGAGCTTTTTATGGTTAAGAGGAAGTGTAAGATAAGGTGGGATTTTCCTAGGCTCTCTCTCAGTAATAGAACCCGTTCCTACATTTATTCTTATTCAACTGGTGAAAGTATCTATCATTTCTTCTTTTCTAAGAAGAGTCTAAGAAAAACTTAAGAGTCTGAAGAGAAGTTAGGATGAATCCAGGGTGTTCCTAAAGAAAACCCAAGGATCTCAGGAAATTTCAAAAAGAAGTCAGAGCAATCTAGAGAAGCTAGGAAGAGTTTATGAACCTTACAAGGAGTCTAACTGAGAATCTTTTGACTTGGCACAAAGAGAATATAGACAAAAGTGTAACACACCTTTATCCACACCTCCTGTTTAATCAAAACAAGCCTAAGTTGCACTCTAATGCACATATTACTGTTAAGTCCTAACCCATTTGAACCTGGCACTCAAAGAGCCTGATTAATCACTTGTAACTTGCATGTTTACGTTGCTTGGCTGTTAGGTGATTAACCCGAAAGGTGATGGTGAAGATGGGGATAAAGTAAGTAGTGCATGTTACAACTAAACTTATTCAGTACAAATTATCTTGCTTAATGAAATTCTGTGAAAAATAGACACTATACACTTGGATTCTAATATTGTTCTTGTTTTTAGGTTCGAGACGAACCAGAACCAGACCGAAACGCAGAAAAAGTTCGTGAATTCTTCAAGAAACTCGCTGGCGAGGATATGGAAGTGGATTGGATGGAACTCAAAGAAATCTTAGATTTCGCAATGCGGAAAGGTATGATGTTCCTATTTAAATTGCTTATTATTTACATACTTGCGATCTGGATATACAGGATGAGTCAAATAAAGTATTCAGAAACAGATGTACGTATTTGACCCATTCTGTATTAGTGAGTAAGTAGTAATATAGCTTGTACAGAATAAGCATAAATACGTTTTCTTTAATTTTATTTCGCTGTAGATATATAAGTAAAATTAATTTAATTTTATTATTAAGTTATTTTCTTATTATATGTTATACTATTCGCGTAATAGTTTTACACGTAAAAATATTTGCAAAAGAAGTTTCTTTTAGAATTAAGTTCTTATCACAAATATAATCTTAATTCTGTTTCTTGTCTGATTAATCTGCTGTTTGCTTATCGTTCAAAAGCTTTAATAATGCTTTGTTTGCAATTTTATTATTGTTTGCAGTTGTTTAATTATGCTTTCTTATCATTAATCATACGTGTAAAATGCATTCACGAAAGCCACGCGAATAGCGTTGTGCATTTTTTAATTTTAGCTGTTGTAACGTTTAATGCACCGTTTAATTTACATTGTAAATCAATTATCGTGTGAATGCTAATACAACGCAATCTTCATTCCTGTAATTGTGCATGTCCTTTCTGTATAATTACTTCATACATATTGTACATAAATACATTTGGGTCGCAGACATTTTCAGTGAATCCCTGTACCAGAAAACTTGGTCAAAATGCTTCGAAATTACAATTTGCCAGGACTAATGAACAGCAGCTGTTATTGAATTAACAATGGTCACGATTAAACCTTCAAGGAATATTTAAAGGGGATTATAATTCTATGGAATTTTTAGATCCGTTGCTTTTGCAGTAACATGTTCGTAATGTGATTTATAAGTACATAAAAATTATTTCACAGAATACATTTACTCCATTGACCCAAATGTACATATGTAAAAATTAATGTTAACATGTAGCTGTATGTTACGGGTAGAACTACCACAGTCGGTGCGTCGTAGTGAGGCTCATGCCCCAGAAACTGTACAAGGAAATGGTTCTTTTATCGACACTCTCATCTCACTGCTGTGCGGCATTGTTTGTAATAATGAACAGTACAATAAGCCCGTAGGTAAGGCATCATCTAGTATATACTTCATGCAAATGGGTCATTACTAAGTCTAAGTTATATTTGGAGTATACTGGTACTGGTAAATAACAAAATTGTAGAACTATGAAGCTTTAGAATTAGAATTGCATTAATAGGTAGTCAATTTTTAAATACTTATCGCTCTCCATATAGAATTATAGAACTGTGATCAGTCATAGAAGAGAATTATAGAACTGTGATCATAAAATGAAAACTATAGAATTTCAGACAACTAAACTGTAAAATTCTGAAATGTTGGAATTTTTAATTTTAAAAGAAAGAAGGTTAGCAAGACATACAATTATTACAGATCAATTTGATCATAACATAATTGCTCAAGATGAATGGAATACATATTTGAAACGCAGCAACAAGTGAAAAGCTTAAAGAAGAAATAACAGAAGAGTTTTTGCATGTGTCCTTAAGATCAGAAAAAGTAAATCATTAACAAGTTTGCTTGAGAATTCATTAGATTTCGAATGCAATATATAAAGGTTATGCAATATACAAGGTTGTTATGCAGCTTAATCATAATCTCATTAATTGTAGTCTATCGTTCTTCATTCATACTATCTTCATATTTGTGGTATTGTTGTCACTGGTTGTAGTTTCTCATGATAACTTCATAACATTTCAGTACTTCCTTCTTTCTATCAGATATACAGCACATTTGAAATGGTGTATTGATGTGATTACATATAACACATGTCTGGAAGTTTTTTCTTCATTTCAGAAACACATGACAAAGGATTCAGTAAGGACGTGTGTCGTAGCATGGTTGCGATGCTAGATGTAGATCATTCTGGCAAACTTGGATTCGAAGAGTTCAGAACTTTGTGGAATGATATAAGAAAGTGGAGGGTATGACAATTACTTTAAATAACATGCATTGTCAATTTCTTAAATTATGACAAAAGCGTCAGGATCTCCCTGACATGCTATTCTTTCATGCAACAATTGTGGTATTTTTCAGGCTGTATTTAAACTATATGATAAAGATGAGTCAGGATACTTGAGCGCATTTGAATTGCGGCAAGCATTAAACAGTGCAGGTTATCGATTAAATAATCACATCCTTAATATTTTGGTCCATCGTTATGGAACAAAGGATGGTATGATTACGTTTGATGACTACATAATGTGCGCGGTTCGACTTAAAACGATGATAGGTAAGCAAACAAATAAAGATGAATACAAAAAAAGAAGATACTTGATTTGCATAAGTGTTTAAATGATATTATTTTTTCAAATTTCTATATTGCCACTGATATAAGATAATTTATTTTTTTGCAGATATTTTCAGAGAACGAGATCCAGATTTAACTAACACAGCTACGTTTACGATGGAAGAATGGATAGAGAAAACATTGTATTCATAATTTAAAAATTCTTATAAATTTGGATAAAAAGAGATATATTTTGATTCTAACTGCTTTCCTTATTGAACAGCCTATCTTATAACAAAATAGCTACAAAGTTTTAAAACTTGTTGAGAATTAAAAAGAGAAAAGGAAAGAAAGATAGAGAACATGCCTTTGTATTGTTAATTAAAAGATACTTGAAAATTTCCTATTTACAGTAATTTGTCTGTTGCATTTGTATTCATATTACTACTACACATGTAGATGAAGCATGGTAATATGTGCCTTAATGTATCTTTATACATCTAAATTCTACTTTTACTAAAAATAATTTATTACAGCAGACATTCAAACTAGTCTATAATTTTATACTTCAAATGTGAATAAAAGGAAATTATATAAATTATTTAAATACATTCGTCCATTTTTCTTGTTGCTTTATGTCACGTATAAATTAGAAAATTTTAATTTGTTTATACTCAATTCCAAATAAAATTTGAAAATTTTTCAGTTTGTATTATATTTTTGCCATCCTGTTTTCCTTATGCTATTTTGATACGAACATTTCGAGAAAGTAAAAATTAAAATTTAACGTTTTCGAAACTTACCACTTGTGATTCCTTTTCTGATGTATCTTCTTTCTGATTCTTAATCGTTTCTGAAATAAAAATATATAATTATGAAAGGAATTGTGTTTTTGATCTAACGCGACAATCAAATTTTTCAGCTATTCCAATTTTTACATTTCTAAATTAAAAAATTTGAATTTTCTACATTTTCAAATTAAAATATTTCTAAAACTTCAAGCTTAATTAAAACTTAATAACAAATACTTTTGCGAAATTACCTTTCCACTTTCTGCAGTAAAAGAACGTATTCAAACTTGCACATTTGTATTGAAATATTTCGCTCGCAATTATCAACGATATGAACATAGCTACTATACGAATAAATTTGAACAATTATTTGTAAACGATTATTTATTAAGCTATTAAACAAATGATAAATTTAACAACGAAAAATACAGAACTATCACAACTGCGAAATAACACTAAACACTTAACAATAAATATATATTTATATAATTTATATAATCGATTGTGATCGAGATATTCGCTTTCTCCTATCGAACTTTTGGCGGTTTTTATGATATTTCTCAATTATCGTTTAAATAACATATTTTTTTTCTACTTTAACAATCAAACGAGTTATTTTTATATTAATCATGTTAAATAACAAATATAATGTTCTTTACGAAAGATACGTCAATTTTTCATCATATAGATGATAACTGTATACATGTATTCATTTTCATTTCAGATTGCTCTTACACGATTAAAGGATTACATGTCGTCGCTCATAACATAACCTTCTTTGCATTTAAAGAATGTAAGTAAACATTTTTTAGAATTTCATAACATAAAAAATGTGAAAGCTAACGAAATGTCATTTGTCGTTAATTCATTTAGTGAAAAAATTATTTCGTTTTTACATTATTTTTGTTACTTATTATAAACGTAAACATATCGTGTACTATACAATAATGTATGAAATATTTTATAATAAATGAAAAAAAGGTAATAACATTTTGTAATTGTGTTATTTAAATGTTATATTTTTTAATGAAAGTCACATAATAACTAAAAGTATTTAGTATATTCAATATATGTGTGTAAGCAAATACTGTTTCTTCAATTCTATTTTAAAGAGTGATATATGTTTTATTTAATAGACTGGAGCAATGGCAGAGGTTGAGGAAACTCCACCGGAAACAACAGAAGCACCTGCAGAACAGGATGTTGTATCAGAAGAAGATAAACAGTATCTGTTGGATTATGTTAAAGAAACAGAACAGCGGCTCAATGCGAAAGAAGAGATTAGAGCTGCTAATTTAAATCCTAATAGACCACCAGATTCATATTTTAGCAAACTAGATTCAACATTGAAACGAAATACCACATTTGTTAAAAAACTGAAAAACTTTAGTAGTATACAGTTAGATGTAGTTTTGAAAGATATGACACATCTCAATTTGACAAAATATGTAAGCGAAGTTGCTACTGCTTTAGTAGATGCTAAGTTAAAAATGACAGATGTTGCATCTGCTATTAAAGTATGTAGTTTTTTGCATCAAACTTATGTGGAATTTTCAACGCACTTCTTTGAAAATTGGCAAAGAATTTTATCTCTTAAGGTTGTTGATAAAATTGCAAACCCAAGCAAACTTAGGGTTGATCTCAGGTTTTATGCTGAACTAGTTAATGCAGGAATTTTCACGCATAAACAAGGATTACCTTTACTAGGTTCTGCGTTAACAGTTTTAATCAATATGGACAAAGAAGAACACAATAATGCAAGCATTATATTAAGTTTTTGCAAACATTGTGGTGAAGATTATGCTGGTCTTGTACCTAAAAAAGTGAGAGAAATATCTGAAAAATTAAATATACAAATACCTAAAAGCAAGTTACTCTCACCTGATAAGCAGCAAAATGTAAGATTATTACTACGAGATTATTATAACTCATTGTGTAAACATCTATTAAAAGAACACAAGGATCTGCAAGCTTTTGAAAAGCAAAATCGAAAAATCTTACAAACCAGAGGTGAATTAAGTTCTGAGAGGAAAGAAAAGCTTGAAAGTCTACAAGTATCCTATGAACGTTTATTAAATAATGTACAAAGTTTTTCTGAAACTTTGGATGAACCCATGCCAGAACTGCCTGTGGACAGTGAAATGAAAGCAGAAGCAGAAGAAACCATGAAAATGATTAGTGAAGGAGAAGAAAATAGTATTCTCGAAGACATGTGGGGAGATGAAGAAACCAGAAGATTTTACGAAGTCTTACCTGACTTAACAGTATTTCTTCCAGGATCATATTTAAAAGAAGTACCTAAGCAAGATGTGCCGATAAGCGAAGAAGCTTTAGATGAGGAAATAACATTTGATGAATTAGAAGAAACTGAAAAAGTGGATGAGCCAGAAGCAGAAGTAGAAGAACCTCAGGTTTCAAAAAGCAATAAAATATTATTAGACGCATTCCTAGCACATTTACCAAATTGTGTAAATCGTGAAATGATCGATAACGCAGCAGTACACTTTTTAATGAATCTTAATACCAAGCATCACAAGAAAAAATTAGTAAAAGCATTGTTTGGCGTATCCAGAATTCGTCTCGATCTGTTACCGTTTTACTCGCGTTTAGCTGCTATTCTTTATCCTGTCATGCCTGATGTTGGAAACGATTTATGTTCAATGTTAAAACACGACTTTAAATATCACGTACGTAAAAAGGATCAAATTAACATTGAATCAAAAGTAAAAGTAGTCAGATATATTGGTGAACTCGTTAAATTTAAACTTTACTCAAAGATAGAAGCATTATACTGTTTGAAAGTTTTACTGCACGACTTTACGCATCACCACATTGAAATGGCTTGCAATTTATTAGAAACATGTGGAAGATACTTATTTTGCTCACCAGATTCGCATCAAAGAACCAAAGTTTATTTAGAACAAATGATGCGTAAAAAAGCAGTCACTGCATTGGATTCACGTTATGTAACAATAATTGAAAATGCATATTATTTTGTAAATCCACCAGAATCTACGGGTGGTGTCTCTAGGAAAGACAGACCACCAATTCATGAATTCATAAGGAAATTACTATATCAAGATCTTTCAAAAACAAATACCGATAAGGTTCTTAAATGGATGCGTAAATTAGATTGGGAAGATGAAAGCGTATCATCTTATGCTATTAAATGTCTCACTGCCGCGTATAATGTTAAATACTTAAACATTCGGTGTGTTGGAAGTTTGTTAGCTGGGCTTGTTGCACATTATGAAACCATAGGTCCTCATGTAGTTGATGGTGTATTAGAAGATATAAGGCTATGCATGGAGATTAATTTACCAAAATACAACCAACGACGTATTGCTATGGTTAAATACCTCGGTGAATTGTACAATTATCGTATGGTAGAAAGCGGAGACATCTTCAGAACGTTGTATCTTCTGATCACCTTTGGAGTTAGTATGGATCATTCTATACCAAGTGTTCTCGATCCTCCAGATCATCTGTTTCGCATTAGATTAGTTTGTACATTATTAGAAACCTGTGGACAATATTTTAATGGTGGTTCTAGCAAGAAGAAATTGGATTACTTCTTAATATTCTTTCAAAATTATTATTGGTTTAAATATACTGATCCTATCTGGACTACTGAAAATCCTTTTCCGGTAGGAATAGATTACATGTATCGTGACACGTTAACGATGTTAAGGCCTAAAATGCAATTGTTTCAAAGCTACAAAGAAGCACAATGTGCCGTGGAAGAATTACGGAATACATTGTATCCCACTCTTGGAAATTCTACTACTGAGGATGGCGTCGATCGTACCGATGGAGAATCGGACATGGGTGTAATCGCTGAAGGTGACGAAGAAATGACTGTAACATCCGGAAATGGTAGTGGAGATGCGAAAGGCGTAGCTGACTTACATTTTGAAGAATCTGAAGATTGTTCGGAAGCACAGTCAGAAGAAGAATGGACAGCTGATGCAGAAAGAGATGACACAATTGGCACTCAAGAGAATACACAAGGAGATCAGAGTCTTTCAGAAGGAGGTACAGATGGTGTTATTATGGATGTAACAGAATTAAACGCAGCACTACCTGCTGGTCCTAGAAGAGTAAGTTGCCCTGAGGATGACGACTTTCTATCTGCTCTTGATAAGATGGTTTCAGACAATATACAAGATAGAATGCGAGATTCTGTAAAACCACAGCAAGTAGATATTTCTGTTCCTTTACACGTGAAAAGTACTAAAAAGACATATGAGCAGCTACAGGAAAGACCAACTGATACTAACACAGTTGATTTTGTGCTCATGCTAAGAAAGGGTAACAAACAACAATACAAAAACTTAGCAGTTCCTGTATCATCAGAGTTAGCAATGAACCTCAGAAATCGCGAACAAGAGCAAAAAGAAGAGAAAGAACGAGTAAAAAGATTAACGTTAAACATCACTGAAAGGCAAGAAGAAGAGGATTATCAGGAAACAATTAATCAGAGTACTAGGCCAGTAACAGTAAACTTAAATAGAGAAAGACGGCAAAAGTATAATCATCCTAAAGGTGCACCGGATGCTGATCTCATCTTTGGTCCCAAAAAAATTCGGTAGATGTATTTTATTTTTGGTGAGATATTTGTCACATGAAATCGCAAGTAATTTTATGTTAAATCGCGGATTGTACGGTGTTCACATTTCTTTGTAAAATTTGCAAGAAATTAATGTTTCTTTATTTTTAATTTAAAATACATATCTGTCTGCTCATCGTATGAATTCTTAGTCATATGTGATTTTTTGTATAAAATATATTCTTGCGAAATACACGAATGTCATGTGTCAATATGTATTTGAAAATACATTTAAAATGCGAGGTAACAAAGTTATTACCTTTTGATACAATTGATACATTCAAATAATATACATGTTAGATTACGTAATTTTTATGTACAAATAAAACTACTTACCAAATTTCGAATTAAAAAAAAAATCGATTTGGTCAAACTGCCATTTCCATGTTATCTATCATGAAATTGTAAATTTTGCAATCAAAACTTACGTATTGACATAATAAAAGTTGTATTAATTATATTTCAAACTTTTTAATAATAACTTATTTAAACACGTATGAAAAACAAATTCTTAAAAATATAAATAGGTGTTTCAAATATTTCAAGAAAACTTCATTATATTCTGTTGCATTTTTATTTGTCATTGTAAGAAATTATTAGTTTAAAAAAAATCAAATACAAATATCCATACAAATAAGGAGTTGAATTTGATATACAATTGTTTATTTTTATCTATGAAATTATTACTGTGTACAAAATGAATATAAATAAATGTTAGGTGTTTTTATGTTTGATACAGCTCTGTTATACAGTCTGTCATATCACATATCTACCATAATATATGATACTGGTAATTATTATAAATTAATACTAAATGCATTGCCATTATTTATGGATCTTCCTCTGCATCTTCAAATTGTCCCGCTTCTATATCCATAGCTTCGTCTGTTTCTGTACCATTGTGATTGGTCCCTATTTGTTCTAAATATATAAAATTACAATAAACAAATTTTACCTAGTTAAGTTTACTTTTTAATAAAATTTTATTAAATTTATTAGTCAATTTTGTTATACGAAGTTTATGAAATTTATACTGTATATATTTATAAGTTGAAGATATTACCTGTTGGTAAAATGTAGGGAGCATCACCAGCATCAGCTTCATAATTTTCAAAATCATCTTCTTCTGCATCCTCATAAATATCTTCTTCGGCTATGAAAATATATAAATTCTTATGATATATTAAAACAGTGTTGAAGCAATAATAATGACCATACAATTACCAGTAATACAAACACTAAAACAACAAACATAAAAATGCTGTTAAATCTGTTTACCGTCAGAAAAACTGTCTTGGGGATCAGGATGAAGTGCTTGACACTGATTCATTGCTTGAAACATTGCCTCTAAATTATTTATGTTATCAGGAGCGAATTGCATTTCTGTAATAGGTGTATCTGCATCTTCGTCATTTTCATTTTCTGAACCACTATCAGAAGCTGGTGGTAACGGTACATCTGTACAGAATATATGAAAACTTAAAATTCTCCTGTGTTTAAGAGTAATTACACAGAAAATAAAACTAAGTTTCCTATTATCGTTTAACTGATTTAAGTTCCTCATACGATGTAGATTCTTGATCGATAAACAGACAGAGTTATGCTCAAACAGAACTTAATATACCTGGAAGATCTACTTTTGCATCGACCATAATATATAAACATTGTCTTGGATGTACTTCTCGTGATATGGCATGTAAAGATATATGAGGATATTCAAGTGAAAATCCTTGTTGTGTATCATAATTCACCCAAGAAAGTAAGCTACCAATGTGAACATCACATTAAAATATGAACATAATACTAACGAATAAATTTATATGATTTCAGTTCTTACCTTTCTGTAATATATAAAGTTCCTTTTCCTACTTCTCTATCATTAATGTACACAGTAGTATTTGGTTCCTCGTGACGTATTCCTTCTTGCGGTGCAAGAAAATTGCTAAGTACTACCATTTTTTACCTGTAATGTTAAACGAATTAATTTGTTATTGAAACAAATATTGCATAAAAAATGATATTCATAAAATAAGAAATAATTATAAGGTTATATTAAAATTCATGTAACCGTTAATTTTAATGTTTCTTCGTAAGTTATTAATTAAATACGGGTTCTTTTAAGATAACTAACGCGTAACTACAGAAATAAAATAAAACACATGCCGCAAAGATAGATAGTTGCATTCGTTTATCGAATGGGGTTATTTATCTTTTATTATTCTCTTAACGAATTCCATCAATTGTAAATTTCTGAATGTACAAACTTACCGCTTGTTAGTGTTTACAGATAAATTATAAATAAGAATCAGTACAAGCTTCCTTCAGGAATAAACTTTAAAAAATTAGTAACTTGTACTTTTTATAATTTAAATTTTTCAAGCGACAATTCACGCTTCATACATGAAAAACTGCAGAACAATTAAGATTCACTAATGCTCAATAATTATGAACATCAATCAATATATAATCTTTTCATTTTCCAATGTTTGCAAACATAAATTTTATCATACAATGTTATGTTTCAGTTTTACGTTATTGATGCAGGAAACATACACTCGAGTGCAAATCTGGCTCCCTAGGGAAAATGGCGTCCTTGGGGTATAGGCATTTTCAAAATAGGTAATTTTTACCAGTAAGCTCCTTTATTACACACTTTATGTTTCAAAAAAATAATCCTTAGTATATATATGTAAGCAAAGAAATTATATTATTTGCGAATTAAATTTATGTAAGTCAACATTTTCTTATAATCGAATTTGCAATCAAATTTACATTCATTAACAAAAATACCACAGCTATTTAATATGTAAGGAAGACATAAAAAATAATAATCTATTGCAAAGTACTTAATTTAAAAAGCTGAAAGTATTTTAAAAGCCACATTCTAACATGTATTTTAAAATTTTTATTTTCGCGCCAAAAAAATACTTTTAGCGCCATTTAGCGGAGAACGGGAGAATTGACAAAATAGAAAATTACGATTTTCTTAAAAATTATGGCGCTAAAAGTACAATTTTGAAATAATGCGCACGAAAATACAAAGTTTGAAATATAGGTAAGAGTGTGGCTTCCAAAATTCATTCAACTTTTTAAATAAATTACTTTGCAATAAACTATTGTTTTTAGAGATTAGATATTAGTTACGGTATTTCCGTTAATTCTAAATTCAATTTTACACTAAGGATTATCTTTCTGAAACGTAACGTATACTATAAAGCAGCTTATTTTTGAAATTATGTATCGGTAATTAATAATAGAAGACAAGAAAGCCATCTGAAAATGTTTTATTATGATTACATGTGGCAAGCGAGGCTTTTGTTTCCAATTCCTCAAATTTAAAATTCATCTTCATAACATTTTTACGTACATACATACATACTGTCCGTACAATAAAAAGTGCTCTGTTTAGCATTTTGCACTCCATTTACTACTAGAAATTATTTATTGTTACAAGAAATATCACCTCGACATCTTTGAGAAGGTCGGTCAGCATCCGTGGGCAAATTTTGTTTCCTAGTGAACCTATACTATTCAAATACAACATATTGAAGAATATCTGGCTTGAATGCTTATAGAATGTTTTAACATAGTAAATAACAAATTACTTAAATTTCTTCTTTCTTTTACCAACAATAAACTAATATCATGTTTTTAATAAAAAGTTAACACAACATTGCACGTTAAAAGTATCTTTCGAAACATTTGATAACTAGTAAAGTTGTAACTGTTAAGTTACCCATTACATTAAATTATATGTTTTTTTCTCAAGTTATATTTAATATTAGTCATCAACAATTCTGTACAGCTCATGCCAGACTCTTCAATTTTATATACTTTTGATAAAGGTAAATAATATGTGATAGAACAATATGGATACAATGTACAGCTGAATTAAATAGTTATACTACATAATTGAATATCACTAAACGTTACTAATGTTAATTGTGCATTTTTTCCTTAGTTGTGTTCATGGGTAACTGAATTTTATTATTGATTCCAAGGGGCTAAGTTCCAAAAAAACATTGAGAAACATGTATCACATTAAATTTTCTGACATTTTTGATATGTTTTATGTTTCTAAATATCATAAAAATCCTTTGCAGGCATGTAATATGACAACTCTTGATCGATAGTAACAGTAGCAACAGTTATAGAAATAGCACTAACAATGACACTATCAGCAATAATAACAGCAAGTAGTAGTATGGCAATAGCGGTGGAGGTAGTTATAAATAGCGTTAATGATGAGAATAATAGTTGTAATAGTAGAGTAAAGGTTTATAGCTTGGTAATGAGTCAAAGATCGATAGTAATCGGTGAAATAGCGTTAGTAATGATGATGATAGTAGTATAATTGCAATGATAATGTAGTAGGTTAAAAGTTTAAACGCAATTGTTAAAAAGCAAACTATAGATCTAGTTTTAGTGAGAGTAAAAATCGACTGTAACAATTCATATAAAAAAGTAATATAATAAACTTTAAATAATTCATAGTAATAGATGTAAAATTATCTGTATAGTACAATAAAAAATAGATACATGATATCTAAAAGAGATTCGAGTTATCTGTGCAGAAATAAAAATATCTTCCATCTTAATACAGACATATAAAATTGTTTGTACGTGCAGCAGTATATGAAATTAAAAAAGAAATACATAAACAATATTAAAAGAGAACATATTTTTATATACAAATATATGGCACGAAGTAGTTAATTAAAGAACTCATCAGATATTAACACTGAATAAATAGTTCAAAAAGACGCAATCTTTTCTATCTTTCTCGTGTGAAGATAATGTTCTTAATTTACCTTTTTTAAGACTTGTTTTTTTACTATGTATGTTTTTTTTGGAACCTTTCCCTTTGTATTAATCTATACCGTCCATTTGTATACTTCACTTATATTATAAATACAAAACTCCCATGATGAATATTCTTAGATTACTATGTGCAAACTTAAGTTTGCAGTGTGCTTGTTATTTCTCGATGTACAGTTACCAGATCTTGTATGTATCCCGCTAATCTGGCATTTAATGTATCCAAATTTTGTTTCTGGACTTTGTTTGCACTTAAAGCAAGTTCTAATTGTTCATGGACAACCCTCAACATTTCACGGAGTTCTGCATTTTCTTTCTGTAAAGCCTAGAAATCGTTTTAACGTCATTAAAAAAAAGAACTTGACAAATATTATAGTAACCGCTCGATAATTCAGATGGAAACCCTGAAAGAGGGAAATCATCGAGCGGTTACTGTAATATAAATTAGTTACATATTACTGTTATTAATATATATTAATTAATGTTAATACTATCTCGTAACGTATACGTACTACAAAATCTTTATTTTTTGTGGCCATAGTAAGAGCTTTGATTTCTTCATTCCGTGTTCTGAGTTCACTTTCTAATGCTTCAGCTCTCAACCTTAGAGCTTCACTATTACCTTCTGCTATTTTCCCTGCTTCCAAATCTGCATACTTAGCTTTAATTCTTGCATTTTCTTCTTTATACAACTGTAACTGCCTCTTCCATTCGTCGACGTTAGCTGTAGATTCTTGTAATGCACTGGTTAATCTGGCATTATTTGTTTTCAACGTAGTTAACTCAACCTATAATCAAATTTAAAGCTAAGTAAATATAAATATTTACAGTTAATATTTATATAGTATGTACTAAATCGTACCTCCCATTTTTTAGCATTTGCCGAGCTTTGCGCCAATGCAAGTTTGAGCCTGTCGTTTTCATATTTGAGCTGCATCTCAGCCGTTTGTCCACTTTGCCCCGAACTTAGTTGCGTCGGTTTCCCTTGATGTTGTGGACTTTCTGTACTCTGCTGAGAAACACTCTGTGATCTTGAATGGACTGCATTTTTCAATTCATCATCCACTTTATTCTGACAACTACCAGGTAAGGGACTACTGCTTACCAAAGATACACTGTTTTGAGTAGAAATCATGTTGGTATTTGGATTTGGATTATTTGATGCTGATACATTGGAGTTAATCATTGATGAATTTGGCGGATCTATCAGATCTTGTTCCGATGATGGCATACCCGATCGAGATGTAATCGGGCTAACATTTGCACTAGTAGCAGGAGTAACAGATGAGCTGTTTGATTGTAACTTAGCACTAGCAATTTTCGTAGCTTCCTTGACTTCATGAAACTTCTCTATAAACTGCCAAATGAATGATATTGTCTCTGAGATTGTGGAGTACATACAACTGTACATTAACTAAAGACATATTTCACAAACCTTTCCTAACTCTGCTTCAGACGAGAAGCCAAGACCGTATACAGTATTAGCTCTAACATCTGACCATTGTCCAAATTTTTGTGATGTTTTTGTGAAGGTCATATTTGGAGTAATAGTACTGTTTATTACTGCCTAAAAGCAAAAGAAATGTGAATCATTTATTAGTATGATCTAAATTTATTCCTTGTGAAAATACATTATATCAATCACCTTTGTTCCTTCAACAGAGATTATTCTATATAGATTTCTTGTGGAATCATAAAAGAATGAAACTGATACTGCTGCTGTGGATGCAGGAACCCAAGACCTTTTTGTCTTAGGATCAATGTGAAACACGTGCGCTTTGCACGTGAAGATTGGTTGTTCACTGCAATATGTTAAAACCAAGAAATTTAGGTATCTAGATTTATTGGATGACTAATGCATGCAATATCTACCTAAATCTCACATTTAAAATAGAAATCATTAAATTATAGGAATCTTAATAATAATAATATCTTAGAATTGATTTTTTCATACAGCTTTATTATATATTCTACAGTATTATAACAAACTGAAATACATCAAGAAACTTCAAATATACATATTTTTATACATGCCTTAAAGTTTGTAAACTAAAAACATGATAATATTACAATTTAACAATATATTATTATAAGGATATTAAAAAACTCAAAAGAACTAAATACAACCAAGCAACTTTGTTTCATAAAAAAAACAACTATATTTTAATACATATCTACAATTTATGTACAAGTTACATTATTCTGTGAACAAATACCGAATAACATGTTTACTATTCTACTGAAATGTAAAATGATCTATGCAGCTAATTTGAAAAAATTAATTATTTAAACATGTATTACATTATTCTATTGAAAGCTTATAATTGAATAATCAACGTGTAACTTTATTAAGGAAAATCATCGGAAAAGGAGTAGCGTGACAAATATTTTTATAATTCGCGGAAGAAATTTTCAAAATACGAATCTAAAAATATATCAAGCGATGCACGAGTAAACAACTAGAATAAACACATTTCACGCGGTGCCGAGTTATCCCACTTTCGCTGTTCTATTTCATGGTTATATATAGATAAAAGGAAAGAAAAACATTCTGGTCTAAACTCTTCCTATGTACGCACCCACCTAAACGCGTATCCGTGATCATGTCGGGGATACGATAGTAAATAGACAGGAAAAGGTACTACCGTTCATTAGTCAACGTAGCAAAGTTGACCCATTTAGTATGAATTGACGGTATTCGATAACAGAAGAATGAAGGATCGCTTAACAGTACTTGTATGCGATGTGGAAATTATACTTTGCGTGTACGTATATTACACACCCTTAAAAGGCGGTGCGGAATTCGACCACGTTCACTTACCCCATTGTTTCTTTGCCTGATGTCATACAAATAAATGCTACTCTCACAGACTCATAGAAAAATCAATTTAACGCGGGTGCGTGATAATTATCTGCAAGTAGAAATGCTTAGTAATATATGAAAATTTATCAAAATCGGTCCAACGAGATGCAGAAGTACACCAATTGACAGCCGCCATCGGCCAAAACTGTATAGCGAACGGCAACGATCACGCAACAACGTGAACCTAGTCGAAATTCCTCATATACCTGGATTTAATCGATTTTCCACGAAAGGTTGCAAGTCTATTACCAACATCGTGGCTTTCCTTCATAAAAATCACTATTATTCAGTCAATGGGAAATCATATTCGTCGTCCGACGAAGTTTCGCTCGTTCTGCGCATCTCGGTTCTCATTGGTTCGATCATAATCGTAACTAAGTGCAATGCGCATGTGCCTTTATAATATTTCAACGCTCAGTGAATATACTCCGTGATCTAAACTTCTAAAATTAAAATTTTTCAAATTTTCACGTTTGTAAGTTCCAAATTTCTAAATTTTTACATTTTATTTTCAAAACTTTATGATTCTTATTTGTCCAAACTTTCAAACTATCACATTTGAATATTCCTAGTTTATACGTGTTCCATTATTCGTAACTTTTCTTCATCTTGTATAACTCAGACAAAGTGGAAAGTGCATAGTAGTGGGACAATATCAAATAAAGAGAAAGCTACTGAAGTTAGTCGAGTTGCGCGCACGAGTATGATCTTTTGTTGAATGAACGATAAATGCAACTGCATAATAAAGGCTAGTACTCATGTCACGATAGACTTGTTTCGTATTGACGTTTGTAATATTGGCAACGCGCGTAGCGGTACTTGGATATTCAACCATTCTTCGTTGCATATCGAATCATCTCGTTGCTTTTAAATCTTTCACCAATGGCGAGCAATGACTAGAAGAAGAACAGCGCAACACCGTGATCTCTATCCTTGTCTCGTATCTCGTTTTACCTGAATACAATGAAAGTGCGCAACGTTCAGTGGGTGGGAGCATTGTGCGAGAAAGAGAACGAAAAGGAGGGAGAGAAATCATCCGTCTTGTAAGCCGTCATGGCTGAATCATTGTGAGGAACTCTTTCAGAAGTACGATAACAAATGACATTGTCATTAAAATTAATAGGCGCGAAAAACCACGGTATATGGAACTATTTTTAAATCGGACCGCTAATCTCGATGTGGAGATTCCACCAAGATACGTGATAAAAACAGCGTTTTCGCGTGTGCATAACTCCCCCGTGGAACGATGAACGGGTTAAGTTTTAGTGAATTCTGTTGCTTATTTTGCTGTCCACCCTGCCCGTCCAGAATCGCTGCGAAAGTAGCGTTTCTTCCGCCTCTGCCAACCTATACATTCATCGAGGATGAAGGCTCCAAATTCACGATTTCTCTGTCGGAGAGGGCCGAATGGCAATACACGGAAAGAGAAAAGGAATCCGTCGAAGGTTTTTACGCAAGAACGTCACGAGGAAATCGAATAGCCTGCCTGTTTGTACGGTGTTCGGCCACCGCACGTTTTACCATATTATTCTCTCACGGAAATGCGGTTGATCTTGGACAGATGTCCAGTTTCTATCTGGGACTTGGATCAAGAATAAATTGTAACATATTCAGTTATGATTATTCGGGTTATGGAGTTTCTGGTGGCAAGCCGTCAGAAAAGAACCTGTACGCGGACATCGACGCTGCGTGGCATGCTCTCAGAACACGTTACGGTATTAGCCCGGAAAACATTATTCTGTACGGTCAAAGTATTGGGACTGTACCCACGGTCGATTTGGCCGCGCGATACGAGGTTGGCGCAGTTGTTCTGCATTCGCCTCTGATGTCGGGAATGCGAGTCGCTTTTCCCAATACCAAAAGAACTTGGTTCTTCGACGCTTTTCCAAGGTACATCTTCAAACCCTACGCGTGCTTCCTTATCGTGTTATTAAACCGCGATCTATAATTCGTTTATCGCGTGCCGTGATTCACACGATTCACGCGCATGACTGTATCGTACAGTTCAGGTGTATATCCATACACGTGGTACAGATATAGCTTGCATACACGTATTCACGAACGTGCATTTCATACTGATAACGTAAGATTTTGATTCATACAAGGGTTACTCAATGTTTCTTCTTTTTTTGTTTCAAGTTTTTTCCTTTGTTCGATCGCTGAAATGAATTATGGGAAGCAATAAAAGTTTATCTACGTATTTGCGTCATGGAAACCTATGAATTGCACGATCCGTATTCTTCGCTAATAGGTTTTACGCTTCTGCTATCACATATTCGAACTGCGCGTTTTGTTTTTTATTTAATTAAGGTGGTTGTAGCATAGATAAGACTTACTATGAACTTTCTTTAAAATTTAAATATATGTAAATAGAACAATATTTATGTAAATACCAGTTGTTTGCATAGAGCAGGTTAATTTTAGCAAAGAAGATAATTGCATTTAAAATTATAATATTTAATATATATTATATAGGAAAAGTGTTTTGCGCATTTAATTTGTTATAGTTTTGAGTTTCGTTACTTTTAAAATACTTTTAAATATTTTTACAATTATGTGAGAATGTTATTTAAAATTTTTTTTAAATAATGGATTATACAAGGTGTCCCAAAGTTCAACGATTAGACTTTAAAATGATTAGATAGTATATTCTGTAACAAAAGAATGTTACATATGGAATGTTCCATCTGCAGATGCGTTATTGTAACAGAAAAAACTTCAATGTTATTCATATTTTTTGTGTGTGATATATTACTACTAGATTACTACATTTTACTAGTTCTTGTTAAAAGTCAACTATGATGAAGTATATTATGGCTTTCAAAGATCTCTGTACATAAAAGTGCAATAATATTATGCAGTGCAAATAATGGGTTGCTTTGCGATCAACTCATCTTTCATGATAACATTTGTCTAACCATTCATTTGCCTAACAGGTGTCACACATTGTGTTGGGTAACTATCTAATTGGAACCACATATGTTAACAATAAAGAAGCAGAACTTCTTTCAAAAGCACTGGTATCATGTTATTTAAAAAGTTTAAATATACAGTTTGTCCTTCTGATAAAAAGTAAAATTCTAGTAACACATCATTATTTCAGATAATGCAGTTACAAGAAATAAGTTCAATAAATATAATCAGTTCATATTTATATTATAATGTATTAATAATGAGCACACTACTGTCTTTATGTTTCTTATAAATTGCTTATGAACATATGTACATAACATTTCTTACTTATTTCTACTTATAGCATACAATACATATTAATGAAGTCTATTCTTTATTTACAGTATAGATAAAGTACCCAAAGTAACATCCCCTGTTTTGGTCATCCATGGAACTGAGGATGAAATAATAAACTTCAGTCATGGATTAGCTATTTATGAAAGGTGTCCAAGAGCAGTGGAACCATTATGGGTTGAGGTATAAAATGTTTGTTACATTTAAGGAGATAACAAGAATAAAATCTTATAAACAGTATGAACTATATTTTCAGGGTGCTGGTCATAATGATGTAGAGTTGTACAACCAATATTTAGAGAGATTGAAGCAATTTGTAAACGTGGAGCTGGTGAACTGACGGCGACTAAGCCTCTCCCAAAATCAGGGAGGGCAGGGAGGAGGACATACACATGTCAGCAGTCAAGGACATACCACTTCAAACAATTCAAATACCATCAGTTCCATTTCAACAAGCTCACAGACTGAAAAACTTGTCTAGCAATCGCCCCTCACAGGGGAGAAGGCTCCTGTTCTCCCCTGTGACGAAGAATCATCTGTTGCATCTATAGATGATGGATTCTTCTTTCGTGATCAACAGATAGTTACGAATCAGAAAGTTCACCACAATGAATCTTTAAAGGAAATATGTTCCGATGATGATGAGTCGAGTTTAGATAGTAATTCGAAGAAAGCGATTCAACAGGACGAGAAAGATGTGAAACAAAAAGATTTAGGTACAAGCATTCAGGATAAGAAACACAGCAAAGCGATATTAGAAAGTACTTCTGTACGTCGCAATTTCCGATTAAATCATATTGGTCAAGTTGCGAAGAAACATATATCTTTGCCGAAGAACTTAAAGAATCCTTTCAGCAAGAGTCAAAAAAACATCGTGCATAGAACTTTGAAGAATTCATTTGGTCAGAGTCATAAGAAAATTGAGACGCAAGTGTCTCATACGACTTTGGTCGACATACAGGTTGAAGACTGCCGTCAATACACGCTCGGAGAAAAATCGTTCTCGTCATTTTCCATTACCTCTAGTGATAATAAGGACATTTCAGATTGCAAAAGCATTCATAGACAGCTCAAGGCAGAAAAGAAGTCTCCCATAAATCAGTTCAAATATAGTAGCATAGAATCAGCATTGGAATCCGAATGTACCAAAAACAACAAGAAACATAGTTCCAATAAAGAGAAAAAATCTGAAGAACAAGAGACAGAACGTAACAATGAAAAGTCCGCAGAATCTACCAAGAAATTTATGTGGGGTAGTAAAGGTAATAAATTTTCGAGTAAAAGCTTCGACAAACCGTCTAAAGATCAGGTAAAAACTGATTCCATGGAGAAGAAATTAAAAGCTAAGAAACTAATTTGCAGTCCTTTGAGAAAATTGGGTCGGTCATCTTTGACAATCGAGCCAGATAAAATTATGATAAATTTGCCAAAGTGTTCTCCCTGCGCTTGTAGATTGGCTGCTAGCTCAAAAATTTTATCCAACGATACCGGTTTATTCTCTCGATTCACGAGTCGTGAAAGTCCTCATCACATCGTACGTTCGAGGAGTCCGTCACACGTGGATGCGCAAACGGACGTTTGTTCGAAATCGTCGGAGAAGACGTCGGTGCAAGCCAATCTGTTTCCAAACGTGCAACAATTTCAAAAATCGCGATACACTCCGAGAAGCAGAAGCGTAGGCGAGTTGTGCAACATAGTCAACAAGTGAAATAAGGTCGAGTCACTCGTCTAAATAGTGACGTATCTGGAAGAAGCTTCAACAAACATCGTCTGAATCAACTGTAGAGAGACTTAGCGTCTCGCAAAGTTGCCGTTCCAATAATTCTTCCACGCAATTAACTTGCTTTGAGAGAAGAAACTGTTAGGTTTATACGCACGACACTTATCCGGGGCTGTAACAGTGCTAGTGAGAGAGAGACTGTGCACACACAAATACACGTATGACGCATACACATAAAATGAATATATTTCTAGAGATACGAGATAATATATCTGTGCATACTAAATATTCTTATTATATATGTACACTCGCGTGTGTGCATGTGGCAAAACCATTACGCAGGGTCAACTGCGAAACATTGTTACGACAAATAATGTCGAGTATTACTATTACTTTTATGATTATTCTCCTTAAGATTGAGGGAGTTGAATTTTAATTACGCATTAAGATATCGATGGCTTACTGCTAAGGATGTGCTGGAATCCCGAATTTTTAATGAAACGAGACAGAAAAATTTGGGCGAGATTAAACACCTTGTGAGCGAAGGTCGAAAATTTCTTTCCTGTAAAACGAATCTTAGCTTCTGCCCACGTAGATCTACCCCCACCCTCACTGCATGCTTTCAAATGCAATCTATAGTCATGTCAGGTGCACACGATAGACTGTGAAACATCGTTCAGGACTCTGTATGTTAATACAGTCACTGCTACGCAGAATTCTGTAAATCTGTAAATTTAAGTTTCTAAATTTTCAAATCTGAAGTTTGTACATACGAAAATTTGAAAACTCGTGGGTCAACTACTGTTAGGAAATTGAGTGCATCCAATTTTTTCCGAGTCAATCCGAAGTTGGATTTTACGCGTACAGAAGATTGAATCGAATTTCGAGATCTCGAAACTTTCGGAATCTCTCGAAAGTATCAAGATTTGCCAATCTTGTTCAAACTTTCTCTGTCTTGTTCTAAAAATTGGGGTTTCAAGACTTAGGATACACATACTTCTACTTACTACACAAATATTGTATATCCACTTTTAGTATTTTTGGGAAAAACGGATTTAAAGATTAAATGGTACTTTATACTATATTAAATATTTCTTGCGTTGAGTTTAACACCTTATGAATGTAATACAATTATAATTTAAAGTATTTAAATAGCAATAGAAATTAGAATCTACAAAATTATAAATATTTGTACAACCAGAATAATAAATTCAGGGATGTACAATAAAAAATATTCTTATTTAATTTATTAAATAGATATAAATTGTGATTTTTGTACAGTATAAAGAGAGACTTAAGAACTATTTGTTGCTTATGAAACTTAAATTTGAAAAATGTAGGTAAACAATATTTGTACAGTGAATCATTGATATCTTGTGTGTCACTATAAATGCTACGATGGACCGTAGCTGATATGGGACAAGAAAGTTCCTCGCTGAACCTATGCTTCTTAAATTCAATTGAGAAAGAGGAAGAAGTTTTGTAAGGACTCCAATTGTTTTGTCATACCATTATTCGCTTAAATTTTTATTTTTCATGAACAGAAGCAGTATAATAATGTTAATGAATGAAAGACGTATGCATTGTGTGTTTTTTTTAATGAATCATTCTTAGGAATTAGGTTCAGCGGTGAAACCGCATGTTTTTTATAAGCAAAGTGCTGTCTCACCAAGAGACCCAGCGTGTACATGATAACTGTGCCGGTAATGAGAACATTTTGTTTTTTTTATATTGACCCACAGCGAAGGCCTGTGCAGTGAGCAATGGAAATCTTCCAAGGTAGCGAAGAATCATTTTAGGATAAAGACAAAAAAGTTCAGATGGGTAGCGCGTTAAGGAATGGTATGAAGTGTGGTGAGACCTTGTCAGATGATGCTATCGATTTTAAATGGACAGTGAACGAGATTGACGGTCTTGTTAACAACAATAAGAAATGCAACTAGATAGGGACAATATTACTGCCAAACTTGATTATGAATTAGTTTATTTCTAAGGAGGTGAGTCGTTCGGAGGACCTTGTCTATAGGTATGTTTCTTGTTAGTATTTTTATATCTCAATAATGTAAATACAGTACAATTAAACTTAAACTTTTTTCTTTCATTAGTACATGTAATTAATGTATGCGACAACGTGAAACGATCGCGCGGAGCCAATGGATCGAATCGGTGTGTTAATACATGTATGTATATCCCTCGTAGAAGATGTTTTCTTTTTCTTTTTTTCTCCATTCACGTTTATTATCAGCATATCTACCCTCCCGTCCTCTGTCTTCTAAAATAAATTACTGTACGCATACTTTAGATTACGAGTATGAATTGAAATTGCATTTGAATGGATGAACGAACAGGGAAAGTGAATATAAAATTACTGGTAACTTAATGAGAAATAATTACAGAGATTTCTATTAATTTGCTAGTGGTTTTAGTACTCGTATTATTTTTATATTAACACATTTGCCACTTATTAAATTTTAAAACTGTCGCCAAATTTCAGAAGAGGTTTTCGATGAAAGGTCTAAAAGAAGGGATTGACGCAAGGAATATTTTGGCCGAATTATCTTGTATGTAAGGCGATTCTTTTAATTCATTGCATCTTTTCTGTACTCCCTTATTTTTTACTTAATGCAAAGAGGTTTCTTTTAGAACTGGATTTTAAGTCTGCCATGTTCTGCATTTATTATATAGATCAGAGGATGTTTAGAGAGTGTAATGGATCCTCAATGAGTCAACTTTAAAGGAAATAAAAAAATAGGTATATTGCAAGTATTTTAAGTAGTTCACTTTATGAACACCTTGTCTGGCTATATCATTAGTTATAATAGAAGACTGAATATATTTGTACAGAAGAGGCGACTGGCTCAAAATGTGTTAATACCTTGAAGCTTTGCTTAACAATTTGCACGTGAAAGGATATTTGTATTCACTTTCCTATAATATTCTCGTAGAATACTCTATGGTACATAACGGTACCGACATAAGAAGTCTGAGACTTCTTTTCCATTGGCTTTCACGTAGCCGCTGTTACTCGATTTATATCGATCGCAATTCTAATATCTATTTCGTAACCTGTGAACAAGAAAAAAAGAAAAGAACGAAAAAAAATTTATACTGTTGTTTGACAAAATATCCAGTTTTATAGACGGATGTATTATCCAACGAGCGATCGTCACATTCAATAAAGACATTCGCAACAAACAAAAGTGATCCGTTGCTCAGAAGAAGAGATTAGTCGTTTGTAAAACTGGATAAAAGAAAAAAATTAAGGTAACTTTTGTACAGCATATAGTGAAACGAACACGTAACGTGGTTCCCTCTTTCTTCTACTTTCTTTCTCGTTCCCCCATCGCGGTTTCTCTCTTTCTCTCTTTCTCTCGCTCATTTCTTTTTCCTATTTTTTTACTACCCTCTATCTCTCAATCGACCGGTTTTGAACAACACTTTTGTCTTTCATAATTAAGATCGCGCCTGATTACGGTCACTGGCTAGTGATGGGATTTAAGTACGTTGCAAGTAGATTCAAATCTGGCTAATTAGATTCATGCTAAGAATATTAAAGCATTTATTTTAAGCGTTAATATATAAGCATTATTTCATGATTTTCTCTCATGAAATCGCATTAGAGATTTTATTTTTTGAGATTGACTACTATGCAAGAATTGAGTAGTCTAAATTTTATTATTCGTAACTAAAAGTATTAACGGGGCATTTACGTAGCAATTTGCAATACTTTAAATTCATATACCATAAGTATTATTTTGTCAAATTTTTATGTCATGAAATCGAGTCAGATTTTAAAATGATTTGATATTAGACCCAATATTACCTTTCATTAATTTTTAATTTTGTTTAGATTAAGAATAAAGGGCCACCTATATGGTAATTTTTATAAAATTTTAAGCTTGCAATTGACACACGTTTTCTGATATTTTTATGTCATGATGCTTTTTGAAATCAATTATTTAATAAGCAATAATTTACTCAGTTTCAGAAAGGTTAATCACTTTGTACGACTCGAGTACTTGATACACAGAATAAAATAAGGTTTTTATAATTGGTATTCAAGTGACATAAATTCATGAGTTGATTCCATCCCTAGTCACAGTTCGATTTTTCGACTATCGTGAACGACACGGCGCGATATTCATAAATGTACATAATAGCGTGTAAGTGATGTATTTAGAAGTAATGTACTCAATGTTCTGTTCGGTCGTATCTAATGTACTTACGGGAGAAGGTGGGTGAAAGAGATGAGAGGGAGGAGATCAACAGAATGATAAAGAACCTTTGAATCGATCACATTTAGCGTTCTCTATGTATCACCGAGGCGATTTAGTGCAAGGTGAATTAGTTGATTAGTTTGATAAATAAAATTAAATACACGAGTAGGTCGTTGATTAAAGAAATGAGAATATATGAGATATAGCACAGGAAAGAGAAGAAAGAGAAGAAAGACGAGTATCATGTTTAGGTCTCGGAGTTAAATACCGAAAATTTATTGTTTATTTAGTGCGTAAAGGTATAAGCAAGCGAGTAATGTTATTTCTTATAAAATCGTGTAGAATGCGTAGCCTGGATACACCGCTGGATACCCTTTCAGGGTTATTTTAGAATTTTATACTTCCATCGCACTTGACTTGAGCGCGTTAAATGCATTTTGCAAAGTACTTTAACAATCTTTACCATACACACACACATTGTATAATTATTAATTGTAAATGGTACGTTTGCAGCTGGCATTGTACGATGTAGCTTTCGTTTTACCATTGGACTTCAACTTGTTGAAAAAGAAATCACCCCCGCGTTTTCTAATGGTAGAACATCGCAGTCGCTCATTGTCATATTTTTTATTTTTCTGAAATCGAAATCGTATGTGTACTCGCGGTTCTGTTTCTTTTTTTCTGGTTTTGTAATGTTTCTTTCCACTTTTTGTTAGTACATTGCAAATTGGTATCTGTAATGAATACTATTGAAATAACAATGTTAATAAAATCCTATAGAAATGACAGCAAAAACCTTATCATGTTCTGACCACTTATTTATTATCCTTTGGTATTTTTCAGAGCCTGAAGAATTTAATCGAGTTTGAAGAATAGTAATGATTAAGTCTCGTTAGGATTGTAATCATCCATCATTTTAGTGATTAGTAATTACTGCATGAAGAATATAGTTGCCAGATTACAGTGGTCGTTGGATGTCAAGGGTGATTTACCATCATATACTCACTACAAATTAATGATGACTATAGTTATTGAACTGGCTGTTAAGTTAGTCACATTACAGTGATTTGATATTAAAGGCAACTATATCTCACTATTAAGTTATCTCTACTAAGAATGAGAATAATCACAACATTGTAAATTAAGAGTGACTTAGCACTTATCATTGGGAGCTCTTAGGGTACTAAGGTTAATTGTAGTCATTCACCAGTGGGTGGTCATAGGATACTTAGGTTAATTGTAATCATTTATCATTGTGGTGGTCTGAGAGTACAAAGATTAATTATATTTATCCACCAGTAGTCTTAGGGTATCAAGGATAATTGCAGTCATTCATAAATGGGTCATAATGTACAAGTAGATATAGTTATCCATTTATATTACAATGATCATTGGTTACTGTGGGTAGAAACTACTAACTATGAAGTAGTCAGGGGCGAATCACTAGTTATTAGTTAACGGTACCTACAGTTATTGTTATTCAGTGTTGGGTAACTATATGGAACTGCAGGTGGCTGTCAGCTAGCTACAATGACCACTAGATGTCAGGGATAATTATAATTATTCATCATTAAATATTCATTGAGTATTAAGGATGAGTATAATTAATTAATGTGAGTTATGGATGATTAGTTATATTATTGTTCATCATTGGGTAGTCATAAGGTTTAGTAAGTAAATTAAAGTTATCAGTAAAGCTGACTAGTCATTTAGCTACATTACAGTGATTATTAGATATTAAGGATGATATTTGTTCACCAAGTAGTTATTAGGTGCTAAGAGCAAATATTCACTGTCAATCACAGTTTAAAATTATAGTCATATCACCAATTGGGTGGTCATGAAGTGCTAAGAGTGACTGTACTCACCCACACTACTGTGAATTAAACGTTATATTGAATTCTAAGGATGATAATTGTTCACTATTAAATAGTCCAAGGTTAAATATGTATACTATAAATAAATAACCACTGTGTATTAAAAGTGTCTGTAATCATCCATAATTAAGTGGTCACTGGGTATTAAGGATGACTATCATATTCTCCTACCATGAAGTCTTCAGTTATACTGAAACATAGATCTCAGAATATTAAATATGTATAAAAAATGCAGGAGTAATCTATCATTTTCTGGCTTCTTTTGCCTTTAAAACTATCGAACGCTACGAAGTTTCGTGTTGTTCGTCGATTGAGTCCTTTTCGCTCGACTGGAGCGAGCAGGAGGGCTCCCCAAGTGTGGTTTTAAATTTCACGCAGAGGGTAAAACGCTTGTTCTTGCAATTATTAGGTCATCCCGTAAGCAATACAGGTTTTCTGAGAGGTAACTTTAAAACGACAAAACCCTAGACTCACCTGCCTATACACAACTGTAAACAGGAATCTTCAACACTCATTGTTTAAAGCTGAAGTGCGTCACTCAATCTAAAGAAGAATTGAACGAGAACGATTGAAATGTTGCTGTTAAAAGAACATCCAGCAGTTACTACCAAAGAATAAGTCCATAAGCTAAACTCGTCCCATTCTGAAGTTTACGATCACGTGAAAGGTTTGCACCTAATATATGTACATGCAAAAACGAAGAACGACTCGATAGTTTGCATTGATTGTCGTTGGGTATCTTGTCTTTTCGAAGGTCAATGCGTTTCTAGGCAGAAGGAAATGGTCGAGAAGTACGAGGCTGGTTTAGCTGGACTCGGCTCAGCACCTTCGCAGCTCACCTGCGCTGAAACCTGATGCTGACGATAAAAATGAGAACAGGTTACGCGGCAGCCTGAGCCTCCAACGGCTAAGCTATACTTCGAAGCAGCCTACAAAGCTACTTCACGAAGGTAAGCAAAATTTTACGCTACCGTCGTGTATTCACGTATATTTTCTCCTCGTCACGGGTCCCTTTTATAGCTAAAACGTTTCTTTATATACGGTCATCGTAAAATAACAAAACTCTGATCTATACGATACCTCTTCAGCAACTATAGCTACTATATTTTAACCCTTGTCTTCGGGAAATCAATAAGGGAGAAAAAAAATTGTCTGATCGCCACGAACGTGGGAAGCGAAGTATTTGCATTTGTTACGAATAGGGTTTTGGGATTTGGGGATTTGGGCGTTTAGGGATTTATTAATGTGAAATTTTTGGAATTTGGGGAGGTGGATGTTTAGAAACTCGATCACTTGAAAATTTGGGGATGTGGGGATTTGCGGATCTGAGGATTTGGAGATTTGAGGATGTGGAATTTTGAGGATCTGAGGATTTAGAGATTTGGTAATCTGGGGATCTAGGGATCTGAGAATTTAGGGATTTTGGAGATCTGAGGGTTTGAGGATATGGAAATTGAAAATCTGGGGATTTAGGGTTCTTGGATCTGGAAATTTGAGGATTGAGATTTAGGGACTTACAGACTTAGGGACTTAGGGACTTAGGGATTTAGGGACTTAGGGATTTAGGGACTTAGGGATTTAGGGACTTAGGGATTTAGGGACTTAGAGATTTAGGTATTTAGGGATTTAGGGATCTAACGATTTGGGGATTTAGAGATCTAGGGATTTAGAAATGCGTGGTGTAGGAAATTAGGAAATTTGAGAATTTGGAAATCTAGAAATTCAGTGACTTGATAATTTTGAAATATAGGAACTTGAAGTCTTAGAACTTTAGAAATTTAGAAAAAAGGAAATTTTGGAATTATGAAATTTGTAAATTGGGGGTTTTGAAAATTAGATAATTTGAAAGTCCAAATTTTTAAGAATATACAAATTAGAAAATTTGCACATTTCAAAAATTAAAAAATTGAAAATTTGAAGATTTGTGAATCTAAACACAATTGTGATACTGTTCAAACAAAACCAGTTAAAACAAATTACCTACACCAAAAGATAATAAAAAATCACTATAATGTCACATGTCCTGCAAACCAGCAAAACATATCCTTATCATCGCTCTTTGCCAATTCGTCGTCTCACGCGATATCGCGTGCGTTTAAACGTTACTGACACAGATCGACTACTGCACATTCCGATAGCAAAAGTTTTTGAATTAAAGTTAGGCACAGGTCGTAAATACTCCCCACGATAGGAAGAGAATCGTAATTTTTGTTCAGCTTTATTTATTACGTGATTATCGTGATAGTGTATGTTAAATATTTATTGGTAAATGAATGTGTGAAATTGTAAAGAAAATAGAGCATTACACTTTTAAATCGCTTTATTAGCAACCAACATACAGCCACGCCCTCGGCGTGTAGCGTCACGCAGTCTGCTGAACAATCGTACTTGCTCCATATCATACAGTGGTTCTATGCGTCGCATACGTTTAACGTAGGCGTCTACACTGCAGTATAATTTACGCAAAGATACCACATCTCCACGAAAAGAATCGCAATCATACATCACGTACATAAATACATTCGTACTTTTAAAAGCATCAAGAAAATTCTGTTCGCAATAATAACCGTGCGAACAATTAAATCACGACGCTCGGGAAATCATATTCTATGTGTCCGGAAGAACGGATCGAGTTAGAAGTCAAGAACACTGCCAGATAACAGTCGATAAATGCTTGTTCGGGCTCGTGTAAGATTCCCCTTAACGACAGTTAAATAGATGTTAGAAAAACTATTATCTTATGTTGGAAGCAAACCGTCGTAAAAAGTACGTAGTTATCTTTATTGAGGCAAATCATTCTATCGTGAATCGTGTGTAGGCTTAATTTATTGCGAGGATTGTTCCTAATCAATGATAAAAGGATTCGTGGTTTAAGGATTCTGTACCTCAGGTGCAAAGGAAGCTTTTCAATAAATTCGAGGGTGGTTAAATCTATAAATTCTAATTCTTGGATCACTGAATTATAAAATGGAAATTTTTGTCTTTTTTAATACCACAATTGTCATATTCTCAAATTGAAAAATTGTCATATTTTCAAATTAAAAAATTGCTATATTTTCAAATTAAAAATTGCTACATTTTTAAACTAAAAAATTGCTATATTTTCAAGTTAAGAAATTTCCATATTTTTAAATTAAAAAATTGCTGTTTTCACAGCCCACAATTCCTAGGTTTTCAAATTTAGTCCTCAAATTTAAAAAAAAAATTGTAAAATTCATAAGTCTATAATATCACAATTTCTGAATACCAAAATATGTAAATTTTTAAATTATCAAGTTTTCAAAGTCTAAATATGTAAATTCTCAATTTAATTTAACAAGATTTCATTAAACTTCTAAATTATTGTCTCTACGTTAAAAAATTAAATGATCAAATATCGTGTGGCAGGGCTGCTTCCCATCTTTATTTTCCCAAGGGAAGCTTGTCATATTTAGCTAATGTACATTCTGTACAACGTAAATTTCCTTTGTAGAAGTCTCCCTTTGTAGAAGTCTACTTGCTTTTGATGGTACAAAATGAAGTATGCGTATTTGAAAATCATACATTCCTAAATTTCCATGTCTCCAAATCCTCAAATTCTTATATACATAAAGTTTTAAATTTAAAAATTTCCATATTTCTAAATTTGAAAATATCTATCTTTGAAAATGTCTTGAAAATTCCTAAACTTAAAAGGCAATAAATTGCAAATTTCATAATTTGTAAATTTAAAAAGCATAACATGACTCCTTTGAAAATTGCGAGATAATACATCAGTTTAAAGATTTAAGAACGAAGAATCGACCAGTGGTAGGACTTTTTCTCTAGGGAAGCTATCATGCCGGGCATTGTACATTGTACAAACAAGTGTCCAGGGTCTTTGATCGGACACAGTAGCGTATTGCGTGCAAGTCTAGGTATCGAGGAATCGTCGAAGGCCGAAGAAGGGACCGAAGAATAGTTCGGAAAGCACGGTGGAGTGGCGGGAATGGCCGAGTGATGCCGAGGTTGGGGTACGTGCAGGGGTGGGGTACAGCGGGAAACGGAGTCGGCAGTACGGCAGTTGCGTCTCGACCAGCGCGCGCGTCGTTTCGTTCCGTCCTGTGTGTGTACCCTATCGTGTATTTTATCGAGGCTTTTTTACGTGACCGACGAAATTCCTTCCGTTCGTTTTTTTTTTGTTTTGTGCCGTGTTCGCCCACGCAAAATCGTAACGGGGAAACAGTGGGACGTCCTATAAAACAGGACAGTGAATTCGGTGGTGTTTTTACAGTGTTACTTTTCTGTGTTTTAACGTTCGTTTCGTTCGAGAGACCACAGTTTTCGTGCCACCGTAGGTTTTTTACCACGAGGAATTCTTTTGTGTTATCCCGTCACGCAGAGGATTGTTTCTGGCCGAGTACATCCTACGACCGATCCGGACAGTTTCTGGTGAGTCGAAAATTACGTTTACCGCCATTAATTCGTAAATTGGCGCGAAACAAGTGCTGGTAGAAGATCCTTAGGGTCTTCTATCAGTGCTCGGTGGCTGTCACCGTAGCGTATAAAAGTGTCGTGAATGCGAACCGTTGTCTGGCGCAATTAAGAATGCTAGTAGCGTGTAAGAGCCACACGGCGTTTGGCACGAAGTGCAATAACGGTTAGTTTATTCTCGTCCATACGACTGGCGTTCCCTTTGTCATAAATAGTAAATACACGTGTGCGGTAACGACGCCGTGGCGTGTCGCCACCAGCGTGTGCGTTAGCGTGGACAGTACGGTCGAAAAGTGATATATTTCCACTTACGAATCTTTGCCTTGTCCCATTCATCTCGGGACGATTCGTGCGTGAAAATGGTTAAACCTTCTGTCAATATTATTCGAAGTTATCGACAATGTAAACAAGCAGGTGAATAATCGTCGTTCGTTGTTATCATTAGACGAATACGGTCCGTGTATTCTCGCGTACGAATCGTCTATTATTCCTGTTCGTGCCAGTTCGGTGGCGTCGTATCGTAATCGGGTATTCCCGTAACGTTATTAGAGACATCGGTATGTCACGGTAGCGCTTAACGAGGCAAATTCTGCCGTCGAATCTTTCCAACGTGACACGTTGAAGGTGAACAATAAAAAATAAAGCGTACGTATACGATCTCGACGGAAGTTTAGAAAGTCAGAGCGAGTAATCGGTTGCGTACGTATACACACGTTGACCGGCTAGCCAGCCATTCTGTAAGGCTCCGAAACCGGTTTCGAGCTTTTTGCTCGAGGGGCCCCACGACTCGAACGTAACGACGCGTGGTGGCTGAACACGATAAGCTTGTACCAGGGTTGGGCACTTTTTATTTCAAACAAAAATAACATACGAAATGTACGAATTATTTTGAATAACGCAAACGTGTTTATTCGAAAGTAAGTTACGTGGATAAATTGAAAAATATTGAGATATAAATTACGTCGCAGTTTCGATTAATCGAGATTCCGTATTTTCCAAGTAGCTTTGATATTACGTGATGGAATTAATTTAAAATTCGTATTATCACTGTTAGTTTTTAAAGTATTTAAAATATTCGTATAATTATGATGTTATGAAATGAATTTGTTAGTATATCTGTTTAATTTTAATGTTACTCGAGAGATATTGCGAGTTAAATAGTATTGTGACCGACCAATGCCGTGACTTTCATATTGTGACAGGGAGCAGTGCCATTTTGTTCTTGCCAGCAACCGTGAAAGGGAATTCTTTAGGGTTTAGTGTTCCGTTCATAAAGCTGTATTAGGATTTGGAGTTTTAATAGAATTATAGTGAGGTTAAATATCTTATTTAGGGATATTGATATCTGTAAACATGTTTAAACGTGTAACAATATACGTATTTAAATTGGAGATTATTAGGGGTTAGTACCTGAAATAATTTTCATTGTTTGTATTTCTTATGAATGTAAATATGGGTAATTTAGAAGTTAGGTTTTTGGGATTTTGTTAAAATGAGAAGTAAAATTTGAGAATGTAGAAATTTGGAAATTGAAAATAAAGAAATTTGAGTGTTTGGTGATTTAGTTATTTGGTTAAATAACCAAATGGTAATTTGGTAATTTGAAAATTTGGTCATTTGGAAATGTGAGAATTTGAGAATTTGGAAATTTGATAATTTGGAAATGTGAGAATTTGGCAATTTGGTAATTTGGAAATTTGGTAATTTGGTAATTTGGTAATTTGGAAATTTAGAAATTTGAGAATTTGGAAATTTGAAAATTTGGTAATTTAGAAATGTGAGAATTTGGAAATTTCAAAATTTATATATTTAAAAATTAGAAAATTTAAAAAACCTTTCACAAAAATTTTACTTCAATACTTCTGTAGTAAATTTTCATGCTAGATTAATTCTTCAAATTACAGGGATTAAAACACCACAATAAAATTTTACCTTAAACTCTTTTATAACATGCATATACTCCGACAGTCACTTCAAATATTACTCTCTATCCTCTTATTAAACTTCAAAATTTGTATAATTCAATAATTTACAATTACAAATTCGCAAAAACGAGCAATCGTCAGCGATATGAATCGAACTTCGTATTCAATGCTTGAGTTTTTGTTACACTTAACAAAATTTACATTTGATATTTTCTTTTTATCGTGGCTATAATTGCCTGTAAATGTAAATCGATTGCTACCACGACGTCTATTACTCGCAGCCGTACCTATTGTTCATAATAAGCGAATTATTTTCTTTTGTAATGGTTGGACTGATCCGAAGGTCGATTGGCACAACTTGCTTGGATTGCTTATTGAGATTTAACAAGGTCTGCCGAGTGTGCTCGACGAATATTTTCAACTTTCTAATATGTAACAACACTTTAAAAATTTAAATTTAATATTTATTTATGCATATTCAAAAAAAAAGAACGAATGGAATTTGATAAATTAATATTTTATGTATATATTTTTTCATTTTACATAGTACGTTTTTAAAAATATATTAGTAAACATTTTTGGTTAATATTGAACTTTGATTGCTTGTAATAGATACAATTATTAATTCTGTATTTGTTTGAGGAAGAAGAGAATGGTATTCATTGAAATTCAGTTAGTATTAATTTATTGTAATTAGTGGGAACAATGAATAATAATTAATATATAATAATAATAATAATAATGATGTATTTATAGTAACATATCAAAATTCATAAAATTTATAAAATAAATAAATTTATACAAATTCTAATGTTACTGATATGTTATTAAGATTATAGTAGTACATAAAATTAATAATTTGTCAAATTCATAGAAAATTAAATAGGTGTCAGTTATTATTGAAATATACAGTTTCAATAATTATTTAAACTATTTACAATAAACTTTAATGAAATTTCAACATACGGCAAATTAAATTTTTCTACAAAATGTAGTTGCCCCAATTAAAAAAATTATTTACTTAATTTCAATATATTTGCTAGAATGTATCTTCAGACAAAATTTTCGTAGCGTAATTAATAAAGTAATTTTGTGATATCGTCTTGTGTATAAGTCTTTTTTCCGATTTCACGGTCCCTTTTCACCGTCTAACGTAAGAAAGAATGCCATGATGGAGGTAAACAACGGGCTTTGCATTGAGATGAGTAAAGTATGTCATGTTTGTTAAAGAAATATGTACAGTAACCTTTCGCGTGATCCACGAACTTTCATCAAACATTTACAGGTCTCTTCAACGGGAGAAAGTTACGAAAAAAAAGAGAATTTGGAAATTTGAAAATTTGGTAATTTAGAAATGTGAGAATTTGGAAATTTCAAAATTTATATATTTAAAAATTAGAAAATTTAAAAAACCTTTCACAAAAATTTTACTTCAATACTTCTGTAGTAAATTTTCATGCTAGATTAATTCTTCAAATTACAGGGATTAAAACACCACAATAAAATTTTACCTTAAACTCTTTTATAACATGCATATACTCCGACAGTCACTTCAAATATTACTCTCTATCCTCTTATTAAACTTCAAAATTTGTATAATTCAATAATTTACAATTACAAATTCGCAAAAACGAGCAATCGTCAGCGATATGAATCGAACTTCGTATTCAATGCTTGAGTTTTTGTTACACTTAACAAAATTTACATTTGATATTTTCTTTTTATCGTGGCTATAATTGCCTGTAAATGTAAATCGATTGCTACCACGACGTCTATTACTCGCAGCCGTACCTATTGTTCATAATAAGCGAATTATTTTCTTTTGTAATGGTTGGACTGATCCGAAGGTCGATTGGCACAACTTGCTTGGATTGCTTATTGAGATTTAACAAGGTCTGCCGAGTGTGCTCGACGAATATTTTCAACTTTCTAATATGTAACAACACTTTAAAAATTTAAATTTAATATTTATTTATGCATATTCAAAAAAAAAGAACGAATGGAATTTGATAAATTAATATTTTATGTATATATTTTTTCATTTTACATAGTACGTTTTTAAAAATATATTAGTAAACATTTTTGGTTAATATTGAACTTTGATTGCTTGTAATAGATACAATTATTAATTCTGTATTTGTTTGAGGAAGAAGAGAATGGTATTCATTGAAATTCAGTTAGTATTAATTTATTGTAATTAGTGGGAACAATGAATAATAATTAATATATAATAATAATAATAATAATGATGTATTTATAGTAACATATCAAAATTCATAAAATTTATAAAATAAATAAATTTATACAAATTCTAATGTTACTGATATGTTATTAAGATTATAGTAGTACATAAAATTAATAATTTGTCAAATTCATAGAAAATTAAATAGGTGTCAGTTATTATTGAAATATACAGTTTCAATAATTATTTAAACTATTTACAATAAACTTTAATGAAATTTCAACATACGGCAAATTAAATTTTTCTACAAAATGTAGTTGCCCCAATTAAAAAAATTATTTACTTAATTTCAATATATTTGCTAGAATGTATCTTCAGACAAAATTTTCGTAGCGTAATTAATAAAGTAATTTTGTGATATCGTCTTGTGTATAAGTCTTTTTTCCGATTTCACGGTCCCTTTTCACCGTCTAACGTAAGAAAGAATGCCATGATGGAGGTAAACAACGGGCTTTGCATTGAGATGAGTAAAGTATGTCATGTTTGTTAAAGAAATATGTACAGTAACCTTTCGCGTGATCCACGAACTTTCATCAAACATTTACAGGTCTCTTCAACGGGAGAAAGTTACGAAAAAAAAGAACCGTCGTATTTACAGAAATTTATTATGCATTTCTTCGATTCCTTAATGAAAAGAGAAAGTTACGATATAGGCCGTTTATTTTGAACGTAGCCTAAGTCCATTTATCAGTTTAATTGTAGTAACATGTACGTGATGATAACTATCAAAAAATTATGCGGTTATATTCAGGGTATATAATAATTTTGACCATATAAATCGCAGTTATGAT